AGCTATTATTAGTACGAGGCGTATTCGGAAACTAAGTACGTTTTGGAAAAAAAAATAGTAAAACAATTTTTTCGAATCCAATTTTATTTTTACATGAAAATGCATGTCTTAAACTATTTTTCAACATAGTTTCCGCCAATGATCAAACACTTGTCATAGCGGGTGACCAGTTTTTGTATACCATCGTCAAAGAAACTTTCCGCCAGTTTCGATAACCACGACTGCAGAGCATTTTTCGTGTCATCGTCAGATCCAAAGCGCTTGCCACCAACCTCGCGCTTCATGTGCAGGAACAAGCGATAGTCGGACGCCACCATGTCTGGGCTGTACGGCGGGTGATCGAACTGCTCCCAATGAAACTGTCGAATTAACGATTGAGTGACACCAGCAGTATGGGGGCCGAGCATTGTCATGGAGCAACATAATTCCTTTAATGAGCATTCCTCTTCGTTTGTTTTGAATGGCACGCCTTAGTTTTGTTAAAGTCTCACAATATCGTGCCGCATTAATGGTTTCACCTCTGGGAAGAAATTCAGTAAGCAAAACGCCTTTCCTATCCCCAGAAGACAGTGCACATGATTTTTGTGATGACATTGTCACTTTGAACTTTTGTTTTTTCGGACAATGAGTGTGCCTCCACTCCATTGATTGTTGTTTCGATTCTGGTGTGAATGAAATGACACACCCAAGTTTCATCACCTGTCACAATTTGGTTTAAAAAGTTTTCTCCCTCATCACTGTACCGCGTGAGAAATGTCAGGGCACTACCAAGTCGCTTTGTTTTGTGAACATCAGCATTTTTGGAACCCATCGGGAACACAGTTTGCGATAATTCAAGCGGTCAGACACAATTTCGAACAAAACAGTACGTGAAATTTATGGAAATGCCTCTGAAAGAGTTGTCATTGTGAAGCATCTGTTCTCATGAATTGCTTCATCAACTTTCCTTACCAAATCATCGGTGACAACAGAAGGCCGACCACTCCGAGCCGTAAACTTCTGTCACTAAATTTCGGCCGGTTTAACATTCCTCGCGTTCAAAAATTTAATCACGGCACGAATCTCACAGTCATCGGGAGAACTAATTGTCTTAAATATTTTGAATGTGCACAGAAAACTGAAAACACAACATAGAGCAACCAAAATGGCGACAATTGAAAGTCAGTGAACAAGAAAGACTAGTGCGCATGCGCGGGACGCCTACCACAGCGCTGCGACAGCGCTATAGAATGAAACGGTACTTAGTTTCCGAATACGCTACGTATAATCTCAGGAGGAATTTTGTGATCGATAAGTGAGATAAAGAAAGCATCATGCCACACCTTATCGAAAGCTTTCTCAAAGTCAGAAAATCAGTGCTACAATTCCTTATCGATATGACGTGACTGCCACATTGGCTAACACACACCCGAAAAGGTTGAAAAAACTAGTTATTGAAAATCACCGCCCTACGCTAGGCAAAATTTCTACTTTTTCCGCGGTGTTGAACCAAACTAAAACTTAAATCTCGCCAAATTTTACGCTAAGTCAAGGCCACGCCTGGAGGCATCTGAGAGGTCAAAACTGGCTGTCCTAAAGTTTCCCACCAGAAATCGCTTCAGAAGTACAAGAAATATTGTTAAAAACTTGACTTTCTAACGTTTTTACCCCAGAATTTTTCAGACAATGACTTTTGCAAAATTTTATTAAATAAATTACTAAAAATCTGTTAAAGCTAGAAGGCTCTGTTAAGGTAGCTCTGTTAAGCTAATTTTTCTGCTTCTATTGATAGTAATTATTAAAAGTTAAACTTAAATTAAGTCACAAACATTCTAGTTTATTACGTGGAAATTTATCCGATTCCATTGTGTGAGTATCGCGCCTATAAGTAAAGACTGGAAAAACTTGCTAAAATCTTTCGTACCAAGTTCTGATAAATAATTAAACCAATCAGTACAAATAATTAATAAAAGAAATACACGTTGTGTAGTATAAATTTAGAATAAGTAACAAATTAAATTTTGATAACTTGTAATTAAAAGAATTTGCTGCACAACAGATATTTAAATGAGATTTTTGGTTAGTGCTAAGAAGGTTATCTTCATAAAAGTTGTCGAAGAACGCGGTGAAAGTTTGAGTGCTCAAACTAAAATAAGTGCTTTAAAAAGTAACTTTGAAGGGTGACAATATTAAGGAATGGTTCATTAAGAATATTTATGACACTATTATGCAAGAAAGGATGCAAGAATAATAGCAGAAGTAATATGAGTGTTGAAGAGGTAGGGTAAAGAGGAAAAGAGATTGTAGAAGAATAAAATAAATAGAATACGAATTAGAAAATTGAAGCCCTGTTTTAATGTTCTCACGATTAAATAAATAAAAGAAAAAAAGGCATTGAATCGAAGTATTTCTCTGATGCGATGCTGAATTTTTATCCTACGGGCATTAGTTTATAATTAATTAAATTCAAAAGACTAGCTGCAGCACAAAATCAGGAAGGGTATCATATTTATTAGGGCTTTTGAATCCTGATATTGTTTAATATACTGCTCGAGTATTACAGAGAAAATCAGATAAATACTTACTTTATAAATTTAAACTTTATCCAGAAATTTCCATATGGAATTTATGCATTAAAAAATTTGAACAATGCTTCGCATGATTTTTATTTGTGATAAGGAGTTATTCTGGTGAATTTGACAGAAAGAGTACAAGTGAAAGATTTTAATACGTTAAAGTACTATTTTGTGTAACAATTGAACTGGAAATGTGTGTTCCTATAGAAGTTATTGCCAGACGAATAGCTGAACATTATTTTGGCTTCAAAAATCAGCAAAATGCGAGAGAAATCGGAAGAAAGTTATTATTCAAGAAAAATAGGAAACTGAGATGAACGAAAAAAATGTGGATAAATAAAAAATTAAATTACGTAAATAAGAATTTGAATAAAAATGTCCAAATACTAATAGAGAAGAAATACTTGAAAGAGAGAATAATTATTCAATACTTTGAAATCGGATATTTTTTGTGAGATTTTGATGAATTTGATAAAGAATAAAATCAGTTATTGCCTTATATATCCATAATTCAATTCAAAGATGTTATCCTGCCAATTTAAGGGATGTTTATGCTACCATTTATTTTATTGTGCATAATATATCAGTTTGCAAATGTTTATTATAGAATACGAATAGATACGTAAACTTTTTGATTTAATACAAAAGTACTTACCAATAACTGAAATTGAATTTGTCAATAACTTAGGCAAGCTGTAACTATAGACGGAAAAAAACATTAAAGCGATATTTTATAAAAGGGATATTTTTTGTTATAGATACATATAGATGGGGGTACGATGCTCACAATTACAAGTGATGATGATATCGTATTTCTAAATGAAATAGAAATTTTAATGGATTCAGTGCAATCTTAAGAAGATTAGGCACGAAACAAAATATATAAAAATCTTTCTAAATCACTCTATTATATTAATATACCCAACAGATTAAATATATATATATTATATATATATATTCATATTTGTTTTAGCTCTCATACTATCCTTGATGCTTAAATGTGCAATTTCAGTACTATCACTTCTCTTGTTCTCTAAAATTCTATAATAATATCTTACTACATTTTCTATACAAGACTTCCAAAATTATAATTTTTCTTATATCCGATCAAGAATATTACGATAGCCGAAAGTATTTTGAAATTTTTATGCATTTGATTAAAATTGTGTAATTAGTCCTAAGGCGCAATTTGCCCAGAAAGACAAATAATATCATTAGGGCATTTTGCATTGAAAACTTTAAATGTCGGTTCACTTTTCAAATTGTTGCCACCAAATATGAGAGCCCTGTATTATATTTAAAGAAATTAAATAATGAAGAATCAGCATAAATTTATGTTTATTTCTCGCATTGTGATAAAACAACTGTACCTAGAGCACCCGAATTTTGAATAACGTAAGTTTCCACCCGAATATGGGCATCTGGAAGCCCAAATTTGGAATTTGTTTTATTATCTATTTTCATATTTTGTAAAAATAACGAATTTTTGGATTTTCAAAGAGACAAATGGTAACACTGTACGGTACAAAAGACATTTTTATCTCCAACGCACGAGACTGTGTATGGGAAATTCTAAAGATGTGCTCATTTTAAATTATTTGCAATTGCTGTTGAATTGAATTTTAGGTTAAGTGCGAAGAATGAGTATTAAAAAAGAACACACAAACGTTAATAGGCGTCCTTTTGGGCGTAAAATCTGAAAGCTTTCAGATTTTTTTAATGTTGTCTCTATTTTTCACAAGTTCACAAAACAGAGTAAAATCCTAATAAATAGGAAAAAAGTTCAGGCGAAACAGGTCATATTTACTAAATCGCAATTGTTTTGCTTTGTAACCGTAACACGCTTAATAACTGTAGTTGTGATCAAATATTCAGCGTTGTTTTAAATTTACATTTATATACGTTTTATTTGTAGCATATTTCTCTTTATTTCCTTAGGGTAATAGTTAAATGCAATGCATTCAATAAAGCAGTAAGAGTTACTAAACTTTTAATCATCACATTAACTAGTGTTACAGTAGACTGAACGTATAATTACAAATGTTGATGTGTTAATTTAAATTTTCTAGGTGTATTACGGAATATGAAATGAATAACAGTTGCCTTAAATTCATCTCAGGGTACAAACATCAGCCTTTAAGGATATCCGGTTGATAGGGAAATGAGAAAGGAAATAGTAAGTATAATCATTTTAATTACATAATGTAACGGAGATAATCCTTTCTTACTTATTCTTTACTACCATCCCGTTGCACACAGTACGCACTAGGCTAAGGCAATTATTTAACTTAAGCAATCCAAGCATGTGTCCTGCTTTTAACATCTTTGTTGATCCTGCTTGCAAGGTAATAATTCTCTTTCATTAAACATCAATAATTATTCGTATCAATATCTATTTTAATTACATAATGTAACGGAGATAATTTCTTTCTTATCTTATTCTTTACTACCATCACTTTGCACACAGTACGAACTAGGCTAAGGGAAATTATTTAACTTTAAGCAATCCAAGAAGCATGTGGTTCCTGCTTTTAACATCTTTGTTGATCTTCTTTTCAGGTAATAAATTCTCTTTCTATTAAAATAAATAATTATTCAATATCAATATCTTTAAAATGTTTTCTTTTAACTATCAAATGTAATAATTCGGAATTCAGCAAATGTTTGCAATTAAATTAAATTCAGCAATAATTTTACGATTACCTTAAATTGAGAAATAAGTTTAAAACTAACAAACGATTCAGTTTTCAGTGTGGAAAAAAAACGTCATACTGGCACTAATATAAAATGACAGATTTTTTATTTAAATTACCATTTTTGAATCTTTTCCCACTCATATATGTAAGCGTAGCTTGAGTTTAGAAATATATGCAAAGATAATTTATCACTTATCGTTTCATTTTTATATTAAACATAGTTTACATATTGACAAATATGGTACTTTAAACATTTAGTCATTTTGCTCGTAAAATATCTTTAATATATCAAGTTCGAGAATGTGAAACTATTGTTCTGTACCAGGCATTTTTCACTCCTTTGTAGTAAGTAAAGGAATTATTTATTAAAATAGCGAAAAATTTTGAGTATCGATTTTGACCGCTCCCGAATCAATTCGGATAATGACTTTTTTTTTTACATAATGCCTGCACGTCTGCACGTACGGACAAAATAAAGGACACTTTTTCCGAAACGAACTGTAAAATGGATTTAATGTGAACTCAAAAACACTTTTTCGTGACGTCTGTGCTTACTTATGTATCTCGCATAACTCGAAAATAATTAGCCATTAGGCGTTGAAATTTTGTATATGGTACTGCTATAACATATAGTTGTGAATCTTCCTTTTTTATTGCAATCTGCCGATTGCAATAAAAAAGTAAACCAAATGTATATGTATATATATATCCAAATGTATATATCCCTATCCAGCCTTTATTTTCGCAGTCGTTAATCGTAGTTATATTCTTCCACTTACTCCAGTTACAGAAGTGATTAAATGGCGAAAACAACGTTTTTTTAGCCCTGAGGGGCGTTATCCCAGAAGGGATATTATTCTTGAAACGGCACTTTGCGTCTATTTACTTATAAACGGCGTATTACATTTCAAATTGTTGTAACCAAATATTAGCACTCTGCATTATATTTAAAGAAATTAACTAATTAAGAAACTGCATCAATGTTTGCGTGTTTTTCATATTTTGAAAAAAAAAAAAAACCTACAGCCACCAAATTTTGTTGATTTTTTTATTGCCTATTTTACATTTTGTAAAACTTTAATGAATTTTTGATTAACAAATTCAACGATTGAAAAGAGAGCAATGGCAACACTGTACAGAGAAAATAAAACAGCATTATCTTCAACCCACGAGACTGTTTATCGAAAATTCTAAAGATAGCCCAAACAAAATAATATTACAATAAATATTTTAGCCCAAACGGACATTAACCCAAATGCTGTCGAGACGTGTATGTGTATGTAAATGGAAAAAATGCCCCTCTGGGCGTAATGTAAAATCTGAAAGCCTTTCAGTCTTTTTCTGTACTTATTTTATTGTTGAAACTTAGAAAATAAGTGAAATGTTGTTTTCTAGGTCCGGGAAAAGCTTACTATCTGCCATCCGGCAGAGATCAGCAAGCGATTCTTTTCGAAGACTACTCAAATTCCCACGACGTCTGCCTCACACCTGGATGCGTGAAAGCAGGTAACGTTCTTACTTTCTTAACATTACTTTCCTTAGAATGTTTGACTTAGTTTATTTGATCATGATAAAGCACGTAAAGCCAACCTGCCTAAGGGGAAGGATGCTTGCGTAGAGGACCTTCTGAGGGAAACTAGTTCGTGTCCACATCACACATGGGGAAAACCATAAAAATGCCCATGCTGGCAGCCCCTTCTCTTGGAATGGAACCAGATCACGATATTTGCTTTCTTTCCAGCCGAAAATACTTAAGATCAGAGGTCGTGTCTAGATATTTTTCTCTCCACGGCAAAGAGGTAAATGCGCTTTCTCATAATAAAATCAATATTTTTTCCCTAACATCTACTCGGACACCGAATTCATGTTCCGTTAGAGAGAAAGACCACATTCGAAAACTTTTCCTGCCTAATGAAGAATTAATATAATTTTCTATTATTTTTGATTTGCTGAAATTTTTGTTGCCACTTGCAGCATTAACTGGCAACGTTAAAGTAATTTTAACACTGCCTCAAACTTCAAATTGTATTAAAATATGTTCATCACTAAATTTTAAAGAATCTAATCTTATAGATACTTTCGTACTTAGAATTATTGAAAAAAGCTTGTGTCTAAAAATTAGATACTTTTTTAAAACTTCTGTAGTATTTACTTCATTCGAATACTTGAGTTATATGTGACTGCCTTTAAATTACCTAAATTCAATTTTAAACTTGTAAACTGAAAATGCGAAGATATTGCATTTAGTTTTTTGTAGCTACATTTCTATGGCAAGATTCATCTAACACTTCTCTAAAATCCACTACGAGCAAACAGTTTTGTAAAAAATCAGTTTGTTTATCATTTTATTCATAACAAGCTGATTTACTCACGGTTCTTTCTCTTTTCTGTTTATATTCTATTTCTTCAATTTTTACTTTCAGAAATATTAAAAAAGACATAAATACGGCTTCTTATAAATTGTAGCTTTTGAATGCAAGGCTTTATTAGCAGAAAGGAGCGTTAGCTCAGAAAGGTCTCAGAAAAATCTTGAAACGGCATTTTGCATCAGTTCATTATAAACGGCGTGTCACGTTTTAAATTGTTGTCATCAACTATTATCGCCCTGTACTATATTTTATTATATTTAAAGAAGTTAAATAATGGAAAATCTGCAGGAATGTGTGTATGTTTCTCGAATGTGTGTATGTGAAAAAGCGACGGTACTTAGAGCCATCAAATTTTGAATAACGTAATCCTCCTCTCAAACATTGACACCTGGAAGCCGGAATTTTGAATTTCGAATTTGTTTTATTATCTATTTCATATTTTGTAAAACTTTAGCTAATTTTTGATTAACAAACTCAAGGATTTCAAAGCGAGCAATGGCAACGTTGTACAAAAAAACAGCATTTTTTATCTCGAGCGCGTGAGACTGTGTATCAGAAATTTATATGAAACCTCGTCCAAAGAATATTTTCAAGTAGCTAGTCTTTCTTTATACTGTTACAGATAATTTAAAAATATGTTCTATAATAAGTTATTGACTAGTCTTAAAAATTTTCAAAATCATATAATTTAGAATACGTTCACCCGATATTAAATTCTGATTACTAAATGGGACAGAATAAGCACTGGATTCTCTTGACCAGGAAAGTTCTGGAGGTACTTTACTCCTCTATAATTTGGTCAACGAGACCTTTAAGAATCCTCTGAAAAGATTTCCAATTAATAAAATCTTCATCGCAACACAGTAAGCTAAAACATGAGCTTCTGTAAAGGCTTAAAGTTATGTTTATAAAGTTTACTAAAGTTATATGACAAGTTTTATTCTTAACAAGCAATATTCCCGAACTACTGGTAAATATATCATAGAATAGCATGGTTTTTTTTTCAGACAGCAAAAAGTATAAATCTGAGAGATTGTTTCAGGTACTCAGTACGATTACTGACATGAACTAATTTTGGACAAGAGAGACTTTGTACGATACAGAAAATACTATTATAGTGCATAATATTCAACATAGTAACTTTGGAGATTTCTCACTTGTGATGGTATATACACTGCTCGACATTGAAAATGCAACACCAAGAAGGAGTGGTCAGAAATTTATGCAAATTTTAGAGTAGATGCACGTCACTGAGTTATGCGAATGATGTGAAATGTGCAGCTTTCTGACGCATGTGAAGTAAGATATAAGGGAAGGAATGTACAGAAGGGGCGATATTCGTGTCGTTATTTCTGCCAGATGGATTATCGAAGAAAGTTGGTTTTTGTCCTGGAGGATACGTGTAATAGGAAAGAATGGCCAGGCCACCGGCAACAAAGGCACTTCCAGCAGATAGACGATTTTACGACGGGTATGGTGATCGGAGAGAAGGGCGGATTGTCCTTACGTCAAATCGCAGCTGATACCCACTGGATGCGAGCACGGTGCATCGGCTATGGTGAACTGGTTGGAAACAAGGAAATGTGGAAGAAGGAGGGGTGCAGGTGCAGCCAGAAGACGTCAGCACGCATGGATCAGCATTTCCGCTACAAGCTGTGGCGGTCCCGCAAGTCACTTGTACCGCGACTCTGCAACATGTGCAAGATATCCTGGATGTTCCCGTGTCGACCAGTTGGTTGAACGTGGCATGAACTCAAGGCGTCCGTTAAGAAGACTGCCATTGACCCCAACGTTTAGAATGGTGCCGGACTGGAGCGATGTGGATGACAGAATGGCAAAACGTCGTGTTCTCAGATGAGTCACGCTTCTGTTTATCCAGTGACAACACTGACCTACTGAACAACTTCCGACCTAAGTTAGCATAAAGGCAACAAGCGGAATATGTTACTCAGAGGTATAACCATCTACTATTTACTAAGTCGCCGCATACGTGTGTGGCGTCGACGTGGAGACAGATCTAGGCGGCGTAACTGTGGAACGTCCCACCGCGCGACAACGTGGCATAATGGTTTGGGGCGCTATTACCTACGATTTCAGGTCACCTCTAGTTCGTATTTAGGGCACTATGACGGTCCAACGATACTTGGATAATGTACTGCTATCGGTGGCAATCCCCTACCTTCAGGGGCTGCCTAATGCAATTTTTCAGCAGGATAACGCCCGACTACAGAGTGCTCGCATCTGCCAACGTGCTCTGCTAGGTATACAGATGCTTCTCTGCTCACCGTACTCTCCTGACCTGTCACCAATCAAACATGTGTGGAATGCGATTGGACGCCATTTGCAGACTCTGCCCCTGCCTCGTTCAAAAGACGAACTCTGGCAAATGGTTGAAAGGGAATGGAGAGCCATCCCTCAGGACACCATCCACACTCTTATTGACTCATGCCTAGAAGTGTTTCTTCGTGCATCGCTGTCCGCGGTGGTCCTATATCCTACTGAGCCGACGCCGTTCTGTATTCTGCCTAATCATTTTGAAATAAACATCACTTATGGCTCTGTCTTTTTTCCAAATTTCATCACTTTCTAACCACTCCTTCTTGGTTTTGCATTTTCAATGTCGAGCAGTGTATATATCCTAACTCGCACTTTCGATGAGAAAAGGAAAACGCAATTTGAATTTCGTCAATCGGCCCAGTAGGAAAGGGAGATATAGAACTGCCTCTTTTTCCACCCGCAGTGTACCTTTACACCTATATCAGTTATATTAAAACTAAAGAGAACGGCTTATCTTAAAAATTCAAAGTTTAAAACTTGCCTTTTTTTATTTTGATGCTAAATAATTAATTTTTATTTATTGTTTCATTATAAACAGTAGAGCAATTAAAAAAATAGAAGTCATTTTTTACCTTATATATTTATTTCCAGCCTTTACAAAGAATGAAGCAGACTAATATGTCGATTCACTTAATCCATCCAGTAATATGTGAATTGCTTCAGTAATAACCCTAAGTAAAACCCATTATACAGTTCCTGTTCAGATTAAACATGGATACAGCAAGATAAAACCTCAAATCATGCGTATCTTATATAAATGCATCCATTTTTTAGATTAAAAAATGGAGCTAACGCTTATAATACAGTATATTTCATTTTCAGGCATTTACTCTTTTGACTCATGATGCTATTCCAACGATCTTTATGCTTTAAGAATTAATTATTCTACAGTTCTAATTCATTAAAAATTCTGAGTAAGAACTATTTTTAAAGATATTTATGCAAGAAACTCTAAGCACATAATCACCGTCCACTTTTAGTTAGCGCACTCTGAAAAGCTTTTTATGGCCAAGCAGTAAACACAGTAACAGCTGCACTTCAAATTAAAGAAAGATGGTAAAATATTATTACTAATGTCGATAACATAGGGTTCTCCAGATTACATTTAGTCTCATAAGTTCAATAAGTTGTATAAACAAAAGTAAATTAACTTCATTGCTTTAGTCCAAACAGTAAATTTTAACCAGTTCAGTGCCGCTCCCGAGTTAAATCAGGCTTACCGAGTTAAAACGTGGCACTGAACAAGTTAAAGTGAGTAAACAATATATATAATACTGTATAAAAATTCAGCATTTTTTTAGAGTATACCCGTGTCATTATTTTAATTCGTCCAGATAGCTTTATGACACAAAAGTCGTTTGAGACTTTTTTAGGTGTTTCGAAGATAAGTTAATGAACATAATCCCTTTTTTAGATTTTTCTTAGCTAATGTGGCGCCCCTTCCCTTCAGCTATTTACTTGATGCAAGCGCTTACTTGCCTCGTCCTTGTTCCAGCTTAAACTTACTACATTTATGAGTAGTAAAAATCTTTTTTCCTCGCATCATGAAACTTATTTCTCTCACTGTTTACTCTCACTATTTTGATTTTAATTGACTTCACAGAAAAATGCTTCAATGATTCCTTGTACACGGTTTGCGTATTCGGTAATTCTGTTTATAGAAACACATTTCCGCCCGAAAATTTATTATAAGGATGAAATTTTATTAAATCTCATAGGTACGTTTTTACGTCATTTCAGGAGTTAAAGCAACAAGAATCAGCGTAATATTCCTAAATTTGCAGGACTAGTTTCGAAGGTTTAAACATTAGAACCCTCTTCATCAGTTGCAAAAGTGCAACTGATGAAAGCGAGAAACCAATGATGACCGAGATAAGCTGTAGGCTCTGGGTCGAACAAACTTAAATAGCACTTTATTGATAAATGAACAATCAAAATTTAATAACTACTAAATTGACTGCGTATATCTGATTGCACCAAATGAAATGATACATGTGATCTACTCGTGACTCGTGACTTCGCCGGGACTCTAACCTGGACTTCTTGAAGGCGCGCCGAGTGTGCAACCATTGCACCACGATATCATGCTGGAAGGAGGTAGAAAATACCTTATATAATCCCCTTTTAAAGGGCAACTGGGGATTAGAGGACCCAGTCGCCAAATCCTGGTGGTGACAAATTATTCTCCACCACCTTTTAGTTCAGGCGCCACTATAGAGTCATTAGGTTTTTTTTATTCTAAAGAAGTGAAAAATGTGCAATATCTTTTCCGGGACTTGAACCCTGGACCTATAGAATTCGCGCTGAATGTGCTACTATTACACCACGAAGGCATGCTGGAAGGAGGGTAAAATACCTCATAAAGCAATCTTATCATGGGAAGGTATGTGGAGAAAATGTTAAACCAAATATTAACTTTCGGCTGAAAAATTTATCTTCAGAAACACTGTTTCTTCAAGTTTATTTAGGAACTTACGCTTATTTCAATTGCACATTTTTGTATTCAGTTCACTTAGTAAATGTTTAACTGTACCCCAGAGCAGTTGTGTAAAATTTTATTCATGTTTTTCAAGCAACAATTATTTTTTCTGATCTTACATTTTCAAATCAATGTAACTATGCAAACGATTAAAGACACAAATCTTTATTTAAAATAAATAAAATAATTTGTACAATATTTAGAACAGATTCAAAAGTTTTCAGCTATGCCTTGAAATTGTATTTTGTGATAAAAGTAAAATTTCTGCAATTAATAATTACGTATGTTTAACAGATAAAGAGTAATATTATTTTTAAATTTATTCTACGAAAATTACAGCAATGCAAACCTTCAGATATTTCTTTAAATAAATAATTTAATTTATATGTAAACCGTATTAGCTTATTTAGACTAAGAATTAAAGTTTGGTAATCGCATTTGAATCTCTATTGACTTAACTTACATTTATTTGTAAGCCAATGTTTTATTGCTCATTACTGAAGCCCCCGTCGATTGCCTTTTTCTCACTTTATACAGAATTCCCGTCCTTCCAATTTATACCAGAAAGAGGATTTATTTAAATTAAAGATTCTTTTCTTTGATTCGATTGAAATGCCTTCTTTCAACATTTTTAAGTTTCGATCATATACAAAACTTATAAGGTATTTCTCCCGCCTTCTTGGCATGCCTTTGTGGTGTCGTGGTCTGCAAGCTGGGCGCGTATTCCAGAGGTCCGCGTTTCGATTCCCAGCGGAGGCGTTGCTAATTTTTCATCTTGCCTGCTTCCAAAAATGCCTAATGTCTGTATAACCTGACATTTAATATTTAACAAGAAACCGACTAGCTGAATATTATCAATTAAAACTAAACTTTAGAAATGCATATTATGGCTTAAAATGCATCTCAGTCAGAATATAAATTAATACGAAATCTTCCGATGTGTTTCTCTTACTTTTCTTCTAGATGTTCAGAGTTCTGTGATGCCTCGTCCAATCTAATCGAAGTCAATCTAAGGCTAACCTTTACCTAAATTTAATGGCTGTCCTTTGCCTAAATTTGTCGTCTAGGTTACAGGAAAGCCAATCTAAATGCTTCTAATCTAGATAAGTCTAAATGCTAAAATCTGACTTAGGGAAGTTTAAAAAATGCAGACTTCTGGGGCTGCAAGTCGAAGTCGTTAGTTTTTCTAGTTGTTGCATATATATTGCCTTTGTCTGCTAATAAGACGAAAGTAATAAATTTTATGACTTTGCATTACATATTTTAATTAGCATAAAGGAGCTGAAAAGAATTTTTGCTTACCTTTCAGCTGCTGAAATTTTATCTAATTTGGATGAGACTGTGGATCCCTGTAACGACTTCTATCAGTTTGCTTGCGGCGGCTGGCTGAAGAGTCATGATATTCCTGCGGACGAAGCTTCAGTTACTACCATGTCGATTATGCAAGACGATCTTGATCTGCAACTCAAAGGTTAGTAAATACGCTTAAATTTTTGCCAGTTTATTTGTTAATAAGCATAGTGAATAACCGTAGTAAAAATCCTAAATTTTATAAAATTTAAACTTTGAAATGTTTCTGAAAATAGAGAAATAAATCATTTCCTGTAAGTTTAATCTTGAGGTCCTGTCATATGGTAAAAGTCGCTTAGATCAATTGAGAGAATAGATACACATGCTCTCATATTTAAGAAGGAGACGTTTTCATAGGCAACATGATTGTATGTTAAAGTATTGCCCAACCATGATTTTATTTCAGAAATTCTTTAATCTTGTATACTTTCAACAAAATAAGTACAGAAGTTTTTTCTGTTATTTTAAATTCAGACAAAGCATATTAATCTGCCTTAAAGCGGTACTAGGTTGTGAAGAAATATTTTTTAATTTGAATGATTAAAATTGCGCTAAAATTTTAGCCATTTTGTATGCATTTAATTCTACTACTTTTAAGTAGAAATTTTCATATGATTTTTGTTTGAAATGGTAGAGAAAAACAGCTTTTTAATAACGATTTACTTCGATCGAACAGCATTCAAGAGATGTTTTTATAAAAGTCTTGGTATGAATTTAATTTTAAACTAATATTCTTATTACAAAAGAATTCCTAAGTTTGTATTTATAACACAGTTATCGTTTTAGGTTTACCGTGCACTAAGAACTCCAAAATAAAAATTATATTAGTTAATTATAGGAAAATACTCCTCTATTTTATACATATATGTATATAAATGGAGGAGTATTTTCTTCTCTTTCTATCTTAATATATATGTTGCCGTTAAAGTGCATAATTCCGTTATTTCCGAGAATACATCGATATTTCATAAAATAATTGGTCAAGTCAGTTAAAATGTTTAATAAATTAATAATTCCCCACTTAAGTTATTTAATACAATGACTAGTTTTCTATAAATTAACTTATCATATGAAATCTTTCGATGAAATGTAAAAACAATTATTTAACTGAATTATGCAGCATATAAAATATGATTTATACAAAGACACAATAAAATTGTTTATAACAAAAGCGATTACTAAAACGTCACTTTGGGCTGTGCAATATGTAACACTCAAACCAAATGCACTTTCTGTTGACACGTTGCATTTTGCATGAACATTTTTAAAATTCCTGACCTGTACTTAAACTTTAGAGCTGTAGCAACCGACAGGCGTGATTTTTCTATACCCGGAATTTTTTATCTTAATTAGTTTTTGTTCACAGATGCTTAACTGGGATCTGGAATGCAGCTGTTTCATGCAGCTGTTTCTTGTTCCCAATGAAAAAGAAAATCAAAATTTAAGGTTTCAATCGAAAAATTTAACTTCGAAACAACACAAAAGATTTAAACAATTGACTTATTAAATTAATTCATTCCATAAATATTACTTTAAAAGTTAACTCGTAAACTGCAAATAAAATTAAATTTCTTACTTTGACATAAATTTCACAATTCCTGAGTTAGATCTAAAATTAATGATCAGTTTGATTGATACATTAGCGTTGCGTAATGAGTTTGACCGTTTGCCGACTCCATTAAAATATTCAAAAAGATTATTTTGATTTACCTTAATATAATTTTGGATTTATTTTCAGGACTTTTAGAAAAGGAATTGACAGGAATAGAACCTGATTTCATCCGAATGATAAAATCAATGTATGATACCTGCATGGACCTAAGTAAGCCTCATTTCTATTTTATCCATATACAATTTATTTATTTATGATAAAATATGACGAATATTTTGGGAGTGCAGGGGCTTTTATATTTGCGATGGATCCACACGAAAACAAAATTTAGGTGATAAATCGTAATTATGCAAATTTTATTCACAAATACACTTTATAAGGTCTAATTCCTGTTAATTAACCCAGTTTCTTACAAGTGGCACAAATCTACCGCCTCATCCGCAACCTACATGTTAAAAATTTTGGACTCCTTAGACCTCAAAGACACCTTACTTTCAAAACTGCACCTAATGCCCTAAAAAGAAACTTCTTTAACTTGAACTTTAACGGAAAGGCCTAACTATAACTTATGCACACAGCTAGCTTTAAAGTTTTCTTAATTCTGGTAGCTTGCCTATAAGCGTCTGATTCATACAAACTGTAATCCTTGTAAATGTACAAGCGTTAATTTACGTTAACGCATGTATATAAAAGAGGACTTTTAACATTTACAATACAAAACATAAGACGTACTACATTCAACGAAATTTTCACAACACATTAAAATAGAAAATTCAGCTGGTACTTTACAATAAGATACACAGTAGTTGCTAAGAAATTCTTAACATTTTCATTCTCATTTTCTCATATCAATCTCTGAGACTAAAATATAATTTTTGTTTCTCAGCTAAATTTAAAATTAATAAAAGTAAAAAATCTGAAAATGATCAGATTTCATGTTACTCCCAAAGGGGGCTTCTTTAACGTTTTGTGTGTTACATTTATTAATTAAATGTCATGTTCTTCGCACTTTAACCACATAAAATTCAATTCAACAGCAATATCACAAAATAATTTAAAAAGAGCATACCTTTAGAATTTCCCATACATAATCTCGCGGGCTGGATATAATTTTTTCCTTTACAGTGTTGCCATTTCTCGCTTTGAAATCTTTGACTTTGTTTGAAATTAGTTTGTTAATTAAAAATTTGTTAACGTTTTACAAAATCTGAAATAGATAATACAACAAATTACAAATTCTGGCTTCCAAGTGCCAGTGTTCGGCTCGAGGACTACCTTATTCAAAATTTGATGACTCTAGGTAGCGTTGTTTTTTCACAATGCGAGAAATATTCATGCATTTATGCAGATTCTTCATTATTTAGTTTCTTTAAATATAATACATGGCAATAGTATTTGGTGGCTACAATTTCGAAAGTGAATCTGCGCAAAATGCCGTTTTGAAGTCTACTAGTCCAAAGGGCGTTAAGCCTTCTGGGCTAACGCGCTTTGGACTATTAAATGAGTGCAATTTAAATTCCAATCCTTCTCCTTAAACCACTGAAATAACCTCCTCTGAGGCAAAATTCAAAAGATCTAGCAACTAATACTTCTGAATATAAAATAAAACTGAATCTCAGAAAGGAGATACTGAATTTTCATTTATCTTTTTGTTCTTTTGTATTCTTTTCTTCACGAAGTCGTTCCTGACGGAACTGACTCTCTTCCTATTAGGCTTTCCGCGTTCTTAGACCATCACTTACTCTTGGCACCTTTCCTCGGCGTTGAAGACAATCCATCTCAGCTAGCTGCTCGCTTGTTCGGCCTTGACTGCCCCCTGGGCCCTCCTTCAGCACTTCAGATAACCTGGAACGATGACGTTTTCCACGATGGAATTTGGGCCTTGGAGAACTGTTCAACTGGACGCTTGTTCCGCAGTACCCTCAGCGACGGTTGCTCTTTGTATTTGGATTCTGGCGATGTGACTCTCCCTCGGACACTTTGCGTATGTTCATCATCCTTTGGTTGTTCGCCTTTCTTACTGGATTCCTTTCGTCTTGAAGTCTTTCTTGGCCTCTCTCGACTCTGGTTGCGTCCTCGGGTTTTTTGTTTTTTCGGGGGGGGGTTGGTCAACTGTATTTGTGGTTGCTCTTTTCTTTCTTTCCGAAACCTGAACTTTAAAATTCGCTTGTTCTATGACTCTGTTCCTCGTTGATTTCGCGTTTTCCTGTTGAGTGTTCTGAAAAATATTTGTAAAAATTTGCGTTCCACGTTTACCTACGCTAGCCCTTTAAATAAATATTTAACCTCTACAGCTGCTTTGAGATAATCAGAATTTGGAAAACTGTAAAATTTTTAACTTTTATTTGAATATTTTTTCTAAAATTACATCGTTCAAGAGTTTTAATGATGCATTTCATTTACTAAAGACCTTAATAAATATAATTCTATTTCTATAAATAGTATTCCTAAATTTGTTTTTCACTAAATGCAAAATTGAGACTTTCTTTAAAGAAAAGGAAAATTGTTTTCATCTTTTTCTTATTCTCTTTCTATGTGAACGAGTCGAAGGTTTCGAGAAGGTTTAGAATTTCTTTAGTAGTAAGACAATTTAATTTTATCAGTACTCACTTTGTATGTTACGGTTACAGAAAGCATCGAGAAAACAGACAGCGAACCTTTGAAGAAAGCTCTGAGGAATCTCGGTGGCTGGCCGGTTACAGAAGGGGAAAACTGGGATGAAGCCTCCTTCGACTGGATTGACACTCTAATTCGACTCCGCAAGATGGGCTATAACTTCAACTCTTTAATGTACTTGCTTGTCTCTGAGGATTACAGAAACAACACGGCTCATATCATAGCGGTGAGTTCACGAATTTCCAAAACTGTATTTGTGGAATGTGCTAGCGATTTTAAGTATCATTCTAACTGTATTATTTTACATTTTTTACTATAAAAATATGAATGAAGGCAATCTTTTAAATGATCTGTAAAATTTTGTTTTAATAAAGATAAACGTAATACGAGATTAAGGCAATATTAATAAAGGCAAATTTTACTGCATATTTATATGTGGTTTACAAAAGAAAGCAGTCTGCAGATTATGGAACAAATCTTAATGTAATGAACAATTTTTGTTGCTTTATATTAACAAGTTTGTCGGAATACTTTACGAGTGCTTCGTACGTGACATTTGCTTCTTTAACCCATTAACGCCAAAACTACAATGAATGGTTCTTTTCTCATGAAAATAACAACAAATATTAAATTAAGCATTTATAACATAAATTTACATTGAATATAAAAACAAATGCTCTTACCTGTGGAAACAGCGAGAGTGTTGCGTTCGCGCAACGTCAGCGGAAAAAGACTACGGATGTTTAGTGAGTAGAATTGTATTCTTGTGATGTTTAATTTAAGTGGAGTGCAGAATTACTTTTTTAGCTGTATAACGTTTTTTAAATCTACAAATCACTTTACTTGTAATTAATTTAATATTAAAATATATATTATACTTCTTTTACAAATAAATATTATTTCAATTTAAAGATTCAAGCATGAAAAGCTTCACAACAATCATGATATAAGGCTACATTACATACTTTGCATCTATAAACAGTCTGGCTATGGCACTCCTTACAACGAAGTCTTTTGTTATCATCGGACTTTACGATAAAATGTCTACCATCTCCATGCATTGGTTTTTGAATGCTGAATTTACTAGGACTTCCTGTTGCTGATCTATTTCTGGCTAATTCTACACTCTCACTAGGAGTTTGCAAAAGGAATAATGCAGTCTCGAGTCTGAAATCTAAAAGAGACTTTTTATTTCCAGTAGTAGAAAGTCGTGATATTTTCCATGCATTTATCGAGGTTACATCAATGTAATTAGTAAATATTGGCCACCACCATTTTTGGCCACGAACTCTTATTCTGTAATTGGCAACTAAATTGTCACATAAATCGATTCCACCCATTTTGGCATTGTATTGTTCAATAAGATGAGCTTGAAATATAAAAACCTTTTTCCTTTGCGTTTTTGAATAACGGGAAATATGTTTTATGGTCTGAATGTTGAACCAACAGTTATAAGCGATTTATCGTTCCATCGGGCAAAAGTTATTTTGTTTTTCTCTTCATACTGGAAATCATAATAAACCCTATCTTTCTTACGGACACATTTCACAGTTTCTAGTGGGGACATTTGTATGCGGTTTTCCTGAATTGTTCCTGTAGCACTGAAACCTTTAATTTTTGAGTTGTTGAAATGAGAAGTTGAAATGGCGTAAAAAATTTATCAAAATTAATAGCTTGATTGGCGGGAGTTTCAATAACACTGGGCAAATTTATCACCACATTTCCTCCAAGCACACATTTTTCATATTCTGGTAATTTTGGAGCTGTCGACTTACCTGAATAAATATCGAAATGAAACACATATATATCAGATGAAGCCAGAGTCCATGCTTTGTTATATTTGTCTGTTCAACGACAAGAGAGTAAATGTCTGAAACAAAAAGAAAATCGAAAATCTCTCCACTAGTTTTACCTTGTATTTTGTCTTTTATAGTTTCTCTTCTATCTCTTTCTTCATTTTCTTCCTGAGACATAACTGACGGTTCCTTTTTTTATCCATTTCAAATTTTCAGTTTTCTGCTTTTTAAACTTTTCCGTATGATCACCATTGCTTTTAGAAGGCTAAAACTTACTTCTTACGTGAATTTCAACTTCCCCAGCAGTATCATTTGGTAAAATATCATTATCATTATTTAAAACATTCTCATTTCCTTCTTCTTCATCACTAGCTTCTGAAATTTCTAGGAGAACAACAACAATATCAGTTTCATTCTGGTCATTATTAACATTATCATCATCTGTTTCTTCATCAAAAAATCTTTGAAGGGCATCTTCTAATGTAAGATATCTCGTTCTAGGCATTTTTAAAGCAGCCAACCAGAACAAGGAATGAATAAGAAAACAATGAGAATGAGAATGCATAAGAGATTACCCGTTTCCTGCTGACGTTGAGTCAGCGCAACACCTGTTTTCCCTTCCTTTCCAACACAAATATAAACATCTGATTGATGTAATGTTCTGATAAACGGTGACCTTGACTAAAAATAGATCACTCATAAAGACGGCGATTCTTTCGTTAAATATTTTCGGCAAATATACCCGGTCGAAAATTTTGTTTTAATTATGAGATTAATTATTATAAACAGAATGCCTGTTGAAGGCAAATGTTTTTTTACAGAAATAATATTCCCTACACAAAATCATCTGCTGGTATAAAATACCTTAGGTAGTGATATTTATATGAGCATTTATTTTGACCGTTGCTTCAACGCAACACAAGCGGCTAACGGGTTAATAATACGGTGCCCACCAGCGGCCGAGCGATAAAGTCACTGATCACTAGTAGTTCTGCCCGGGGTTGGAATCCCGGAGAACGGACTGTCTGCATAAGCTTTCGTGTTTTTCTCTATGTGTAACGTGTATACGATCCACTTTCCCTTAGAACGTTTTCTCCTAAGGCATCCCTCCTTTTACAAGGGGACATTCCCTACTCGTCGTCACCGATTTCGCTTACATTTATAGGACATGCAGAGCTTGGCTTGAAAGTACCCGAAGTTGGAACTCCAGATGACCAAACGTTTAGAAAATAAAAATGTTTATGCAGCTGTTTCCCACCGTTTAAGCTATTTACGTTAGCATACTTGCCAAGCAGCGTTTGGTGTAGCGGTAAGAGCTCGGCTTAGTAGTTCGATGATCGTGGGTACGACTCCCCGTGTGGAGATTTTTTTCCCTATCTTTTTCTCAATTTTTATATTCTTTTTCCAACTAAATAAAGAGGTGAATAATTTGTTTTATTTATTTATTTATACGCAAAAGGCATAGAAAAGGAAAAAATTTGGGATTTTGGGCTTTTCAACAAGAGATTGTAATTAAAGCACATATGAAAAGACTTTTTACATGAAAATTCAAAACTTTATTCGTTGACATTCGATGATTTGCATGTGTCGGAATGATATTTATCGTTAGAAACAAGGGGAAAAATAATTATTTCTGCATCTAACACAAGTTATAAACAACGCATTTTTACAACCACATCATTGTATCAACGTCTCAAGAAAAACATACTTCATTGACATTCATAAAGCATTCTCTCTTATCGCAAAGTTTAGAAGCGAACCACGCGTAGCGTAACATGTTACCGAATATTGGCGCGGATAACTGATGTTGAGCAATCGGATGTATTTTTATGCAGTCTTCTCGGGAAAGTTATTTCTTCTTATTGCTTCATGAGATAAGAGCAATTTTGTATTTTTTAAATAATTTTTTTAACCTGATGATAAAATTATTATATCGCAGGATTGCACCAGTGGAGTACCTTTAGGGGGAATTACTTTGATGCTACACGTTGGCAATCCATCTTCATCTTGGAAGAGTTCGTCGTATTAATTGCGGATTTGTTTGTCCTCCCCTACGAGTCAATCAGCAGAAGAAATTTGTTCTCTTGTACGTACGGCTTCATCACATCCGCTAAAAGTTTTGTGTACAACGCTATTGTAAGCTTTCCAGATTTCGAAGAAGTGATGACGACGTTCTTGTATTTTGCTGCGTATTAATCCACCACTTTTTGAATCTTCGGTCCAAAACAGCCAGTATTCCCATGTAAGCATACGTAAACTTTTGGCAATAGCTTTCCGGAAAGGCTTATAGCATATTGGCGCTATTATATGAGTGGGTTACTTTGTTCATATCCTTTCTTTTTACGAAAAAACATTTTTAACCCCTAAATGTTCCAGGGTCCTGTTATACGTCGACTGGTACTAGCAACCTGGAATATACGTACGTAAATTTATTATACGCGCCGTTAAACAGAGTATTTCATTTGAGGTAGAAAAATGAGAATTCTTGACTTACTGTTTGATCAGTGTTGATAACAAAATTCTTGTCGTATTGAGGAATGAGAGCTAGAGCTTGGAGTCGGAACTTATCTGCCGCAGCAAGGATTTCCTCTTGTGTAGCTGTCTCTTTTTCCGTCAAAAATCTTGTAATTTTCCTCTGACGAATCCTATGCCTTTTTTTAAAGTCCATGACCCACAAGTCGGAGGCTTTGAATTCCAACTCTTGAAACCGACTGGCAGCAGCGAATGCCCACTATTGCAAGTTTCTTGCGGTGATTTTCTGGTTACAACATCGCACTTCTACGAAGCGATCATTTGTCCACGAAATCAATTGTATTGCAGTTATCCTTTCGAGTTTCACCATTTTTAATATGTTGTTCCTAAATTTTCAAATCTCGCATATGATTCAAGATCCTCCTTTCGTTTGCAACTTTTGATGAGATGCTCCTTTCGTTTGCAAACTTGATAAACTCCACGTTGGATGCGCTTTAATAAGATTAATCACCATTATTTTGTAGTAGAGTGGAACATAATCTGGATCTTCTTTCAGTTTTTTTTTCATCGGATTCATACTCATCACTTGACGACGATCTGGCACCCTCCAACATTTGATATTCTTCTTCTTGGTCGATTTCTTCGCGCCAGATCAACTCTTTGTCACGTATAAACTGGTACTCCGATAAAACTTCTACTACGTTTTCGTGTATTTTATTTCCCATTTGAATGTGTTCTTCGGTTATCACTTCATAACTTTCTGATGAGATTAGATTTTCTTCTGACAAAAGATCTAAACTATAATCCATCGTCGTCTTCAATCGTTACATCGACGCTTCGCTGTGGATGCTATCTTCTGGCTCCTGTTCTTTTTCCATCGACGTGCCCAGGCATGTCAATAGTTTCACTTTTGTCCGACATGTTGGATTTTTCCACAATATTTTCCTCGCAATTTCATTTCACAAAAATTTATCTATCTTGCAGAATATTCTCACAATATTCTCGCGCAATTTAAATTACTTGGCCAAAAGTTAGCAAACGAATGAGCTCCCTAGCTAGCATTGTCCCTAACGGTTAGGGACACCTTTTTTCTACCTGCGCCAAGAATCAGGTCAATAATTTTTAGGAAAGAATATCGGGGTTCGTGTACAGCCACCAGGAGTGACTTTCAGGTGAGAACGAATCTTATTGTAAAACGACTATTCACGTTTATAGCACATTTCCAAAGGAGTATTCTACAAATATTTTCTTTTCTAAATGATGTTTTTAGAAATAAGTTTTCTCGCTGCGTTGGTTTCGTCTGCAACCATCAAACATGGAAAGAGCACCTTCTTGTGATGGCATTAAAAAAAGATCCTGTTATCATAAGCTGCATGCTTTCAAAAAAAATTACTAGTTTTATGATTTTCTTTACAGAAAACTTAAATCACCGAATGATATGTGACACCGACAGTATTAATAGAAATCCTTTAAAAACCTCTCAAAAATCCTCCCTTTTTATGTGTTGACTTTTGAGAAGCTGTTAAATGTATTTTTGTTTTTGTTTTGTTTAAGCGATTGTGTTGATTTCACGCTTCTAATTATTTCATAATGTTTGGTTTCACACTCTACTTAGGCTAAATCACAAATGAGGTCAGTTAAGCAAAAGAACTTAATGTTAATAAAGTGTAAGGATCTTAAGTTTTACTAACGTTTATTTTATTTTAAATCTTTACTATCACTTCTTATTTTCTACTTCCGGCCAGAATTATAAGCGTGAAGGTTTTTATGCAAAGTTTGTCTGGCGAACGCCAAGTACTTAAGTTGTGGCTTTTTGCCAAGCAAGAGAGAGAGGAAGCAGTGAGTTCGAAGCAGGCCGCTTACCTTAAAAGTTACGCAGTTGCTATTTGCCTTCCAGGCCAGAGGTTTTAATCCTCTTGATAAATTAAACGTATTGTAGTGTTCACAGTCTCTGTGCTACATACGCTTCCTGTTATTATAAGGCCAATCTTCCACGTGTGTTATTCGAAAGTTAAATTAGAGTTTAGTTTATTTTTATACCTTTTTACGTTAGACCCCGAGTGGAGGGTCATTGTATTCCGAAGTACGGAAGTCATTGTATATAAAGAAAAATAAAGGGTTTTGTATACCCTTCGTCTGTATCCTGTCTACTTACTACAATTAGTAGTGAACATAGCTTTAGTAAGCTCTCTGTTCCTAGTCAGGTCATTGTATGTTTCCGAAGAAGGTTAGAAGAAACATTGAACCTGATAAAAGTACTGAACTTCTTCTTGTAGAAAGTCAGTGTTATAGCAAATTCTTTTTATTCTAAGAAGTTGGAATTGAATTGTATTAATAATGACTGTTTTTGAATTGTTAGAAGTCCAATTTGTCAGTTTAAAAGTGCGTAACTTAAACTCTCTGCACTTATCATAAACTTTTAATTTTTTGTAATTTAAAATATGAAGAGTAAGTTAGGTTATGTCATTTTGCTGTGGGTTAGTAGGATAAATATTGGCGTTTTCAATTTTGTTAAAGTTATTAAAAGCTATAATGTCATTAATATACCTGCAAATGAGCTTAAAATATGTTCGCTGTTCTAGATCTAGTGGCTGCTGAAATTTAAATTCCTGTGTGAAAAAGAATAGTGTACAGACCGCTGTAGAAAAATTGGCTCACATAGGTATACCTTGTACTTGCTTAAAAATATTTTTTATCAAATTTTAGAAAATTGTTAATTAAGGCACTTCTTAGGAAATGTTTCCATTCTTCTCTTGAGATTATTGTAAGAGCTTATGAAAACAGATCAGGTAATGTAAAAAGGCTGCCGTAAATTTCTTCTAAAGGCAAAGTGGTGTAAAGGTTTTTCAAAGTCGTAGCAGTTAATGTTATCAATTTTAAGAGTATTTAAGGCTTCTATAATCGTCTCGTTATTATTGATAATCCAATTGAAATGGTGATCTAAAAAATTGATGTTGGTGTACGTGATTAAAGCAAAGCCTCAGAGGCTTTCTGCCTAAGAGGAGGGGTGCCTTCGTGGAGTAAGGGAAACTGGCTCGTATACACGTACATGGGGAAAACCACGAAAACGCCCATGCAGCCAGCCCGTTCGCGGATATCGAACTTCGGACCGAACTACCAATGTTCAGCGATTTTACCGCTCGGCCGCTGTGGGCCTCTTGAAAGTTGAAATTATTAATTATATCAAATACTTGTTTAAGTTTCTTAGCAAAAATGTAATCGATTTCTTTTTTCAAATTTTTTTTGTACCAATAGCAATGTATCTAAATTTTACAGGAGTCTTATGAAATTTATGCAGTGCATTGAAATTTGCAGATTTATTAGAATAGTTGTTGGGCCGTATTTTGAGTCTTCTATGTAAAGCCTTGAACTTTACAAGAAGTATTTTTTCATTGGTGTTAATAAACTGATAAGTGCTGGTATTGTCTAATTCATTTTGAATTAAATCATAGTAGAATGTGTTTACGAATAATACTAAAGTTATTGCTAGCTTTAGTATTATTCGTAAACACATTTCAATTTTAGTGATTATGAAACGTTCTCGTAGTTGTTGAATTATAATCTCTAGAACGTTTTGTTGTAAATTTGTTGAAAGTTGGTTAAGTAGAGAATCCTTTATTCAAAATCTTTTAATAAACTTCTTTTCATTCCAGAAAAGTAGACGTAGGCAAGTTAGTTTGGAAACTAGCAAATACTATAAAAGTATTCATATCATTACTGAATTGTTGAAGGCTAAAACTTTTGCTAATATGGAATGTAGGACAAAATTTATTTCCAAGCTGCATTAGTTGTCTTAAATCTATATCATATAGTATTTCTAAATCTCCTGTGATGATGTGCTTGTGAAATGATCCTCAAACTTACTGTATTCTGGAAGTTGGCACTTTCAGCTGTTTTGAGCAAAACTTTCTTGGCGGTTGGTAATCATACTTCAAGTGTTTCACCGAATTCGAAACAAGGGGTGACTTGAAGGTGCTGAGCTGGCAAAAGATATTGAGACTTTTTAAAAATCTGATTAATTTTGATTTTATTCAAAGTGGTGTTCGAAATAAATAGTACAAAAGTTTTTTGTGGAAAAATCTATTTTTTCTCAACTTATAATTATAGAAGTCAAGTACTAAATCTTTCACTATCTGGTATCCTCTTTAATTTCCTTTAACAAAGTTGAGAATTTTCCATAATAAACTTTGAACTTTTATTTAATATCTAACTCTTTTCAAACTGCAAATTTCATGGACATTCATTCTTTCTTTTTCAAGTTGGATCAAGCATCACTTGGAATGCCAGATCTTACATATTATTTGCTTGGATTAGATGATCCCGTCACGGCTGCTTACTTTAGATTTATGGTAAAAGCAGCTAATAAACTGCGTGCAGATGAACGTACATCAGAAGCAGAACTCCGAGAAGCTTTCAGATTCGAAACTATGCTCGCCAATGTAAGTAAAGAATCCTTCATTGATCCATTTGGCTTTTATTGGTAATATTTTTTGCTATGATTACTATATTACTTCACTTGTGTAATTCTATAAAGATGATAACGTTCTTATTATTATTTCAAGTATTATGACTTCTGTTGTTGTGTTGCTTATCCTCGAAAGATCTGACAAATGTCCGATCAGCTCCAGAAAATTGTTGACCTTCAAAAAGTTAATAACAGTGAGGTGATCGGATGTTGAGTCCTCCTTAGAAAGTCCGATGCAACCCAGTACTGTAAACAGCGCCTTAAGTTCTGCAGGTCGTCTCCAAGGTCCCTTGGTCCCAAGGCGTAAAGGCCGTTCCATTATGCTCAGCTAAGACCTGCAGGCAATGGAGCAAAGACTTGGACTTCGCCTAGGAGGCTCCAGTCTTTTTAATCAACAGAAGCTGCTCACTTCCTCCTCCTTATGGTTTTGTTGATTTTGACTTCTAAGGTAATAAAACTGAAAGTAGATTTTTTTAGGAATTATAATGAATAAATGGGAGGCCCGGTGGCGCAGTGGCTGGCGCGTCGGTCCAGATTCGGGGTTCGGTCCCCGGGCTGGCAAGGCTGACTCAGCCTTTCTTCCCTGGAGTGGGTCGATAAAATTAGTACCAAGTTCGCTTGGGGACTAAATACTGGGGAATCCTGCTACATTTGACCACTTGTCCAGGCTAAAAGATGCACAAGCACCCCGGACCCAGGTCTAGAAAGCAGATATCAGAGCACTGCCAGCCATGGCTCTCTATGGGCTGTTTGTGCCGCCGAGTTTAGTTTAGTTTAATTAAGAAATCGATCATCAATAGATTCCATCTGCCGTTGCTTTCTAAAATAGGTTTCTTTATAAAACAGAATTCCTCTTGGTGACATTCAAAGCGTTTTGTCTAGCTAATGGGCCAAGAGAAAGAACAATTTTTAAAATGACGGCGAGTAATTCCGTAAGTAAGAGAAAGAGATCAAGAAAATTTCAGATATTAGCAAAGAATGAAAAACATATATGTAAATTAAAACTTACTTTTATTTCCTGATCTGCTGTCACTGGTTTCTAAGTAACTTTAATTCGCTTTAAAAACGAAGCATAAAAGTTTTCCTGCATTATATTTGTATTTCCTGCGTCACATAAGTTCGTTTAAATTTAAACAATTAAATTTAAAACTTTCCGTAAAAAGGCTTTATGCTCTACAAATTTTCTGTTGTTCAAACTAAGCTGTATGGGAAGAATTAGTTCTTCTGAAGTAGTTAATCTTCTCTACTGCATTTAAAAACACATCTCATTACTTAATTTTATAAATGACTAAAAGAATCAAAAATTGGGTTAACTTCTCATACTGAATTTGCAAAGGTCAGTGCAAATGAATTTGACTTTTTACTTCTACCGTTAATATTTTTTTTAATTTTAATTTTTATTTGTTAAAAAAACAAAGCTTCGAAGGATTTTCGAGTTTATGGGCTAAGACAGTTCATTAAATACCTGCAGAATTATTATTGGAATATTAAAAGCATGGTTAATAATCGAAAGAAAGTTCACTGTTTAGTCAGCATATATTTCGTATGAAAAGATGTATTTCGAGTCGCAAACGAAATGATCCTTCTATTCAAGACCAAATAATGCTGTCAATAATTTCCACTCGAAAAGAAAGAGTTTCTCCGAAAATACATTGAATCAACGCCGAAAAAAGTTTTCATTTCTTCGCATCCTTTAAAACGGCATTTCATATTTCATTTAAACTCCTCTTATTCCATTAGTTCTGCGCAGAAAATGAAGCTGAACTTTATTATTCGCAGCTACATACATGTTCTTTATAAATTATTTTTATATCTGAAAATTGTTTTATTGCAAACAAATGCTGATCTAACATTTTTAAAATTAGTGTACATTTTATTATTGGTTACTCAAGAAATTTTTTGAAAAGTGCCCCTTTATAAACCATGCATCTCAAATACACGTTCATTAAATGTGGCCCTTTATCTATAAACCGTTCATTTTCTGTACAAAAAAAAATCTGATGTGTACACCACATGAATTCCTTGTACGGAATATTAATTTATACGCATTTGTTTCTTGCATTTCTTTTAAACTTATTGGATTTAATTAAATCTACTTCGCCGACAGCGCATAAACCACAATAGAATAAAGGCATTCTTTAAAATTCACTTTATTTGTTTAACATAGCGACACTCTGGCACTAGGTTCACTTAACAGTATTATATTCCATTCATATTATAACTCAGAATGCACAAAATGTTTTTTTTTTGTTTTTTTTTTTATTTTTTTTTTTTTTTATTTTTTTTTTTTTTTTTTTTTTTTTTTTATTTTTTTTTTTTTTTTTTTTTTTTTTTTTTTTTTTTTTTTTTTTTTGTTTTTTTTTAACAAAAACCTTTTTTCACAGTTTTTTTTTTTTTTTTTTTTTTATTTAGTATTTCTCATTCAAAAGACAAAAATTCAGTTTTCAGTTTTCACTTCGCGACAAGACAAAAATACATAAAAGCTCAAAATTCTGTATTAAAAATTACTAATTATTAAAAATTAAGTAAATCTTAAACACACTTATTTCCTCAAAAAATTCCAGAAAGGATTAAGCATGATCTAATTCGCAATAATAAATGAAGGCGTTATTTTTGGCTGTTGCGAAGCTTAGCCTCTCTAGATTGGCAACAAATCTACTACAATTCTGCTCTTTCAAATGTAAACAAATATATCTGCTATGGAAAAAATATTTATTTAAAACTTAGACCGCACTTAAACAAACTTTTAAATTGTTGATAATTGTACAACTATTGCTTCCAGAATTTACGAAAGGCATAAAACCCTTAATCCGGAAGATAAGAACAACATAATTCAGTCATTTTCAAAAGCAAAAAATGTACAATTTACAAACATATAAGAGTAAAGAAACTGAGATCACTGTGCCGAGTAACAGAGTGGATGCATATATATAAATATAGTATTTATATACGTTTTGGTGCAGCCGAATTGAAACCAAAATACGGAGGATGCACGTCTACATGTTATAGCAGTCCTATATACAAAATTTAAACGCGTTCTGAAGGCTACTCGTTTGTGAGTTATGCGAGATACGTATGTATGCACGTACGTACATACGTTCGTACAGACCGCCACGAAAAAGTTCTCTTCAGAATTAATTTTAAAGCAGTTTTATGCATTTATTTTGAGGAAACGATAGTCCTTTTATTCTGTCTTTACGTACAGATATCAAGCAAAAACATCGTTAAATTGCATTCGATAGCGGTCAAAATGGATATTTTCGTTGAAATATGCTGCCTGAAATTTTCGCGATTACAATACTTCCTTTTTACTTCGTACAAGGAAGTAAAAAAAGGTTAAAAAAAAGGTCAATTCAGTTATACTTTTTAAATGTTGGTTTTTAATACATAATGAAGGGAATCTCACTAAATTTGACTATGTTTTTAATAAAACAATATTTAAAAACTATTTACTAATTTTTTAACAAAAAAAAATATGTACTTGCTGTATCAAATGAAAATTATAAGGGCAGCAATGGCACACAGTAGCAAAATTTTGTGAATCGTCCTAACTTTCTCTGCTGTGATCAGAGGACTAAACTCAGAATATCACAAGAGAAAAAGAAAACCCGTTTGGCTTTCTTTATTTTTTTTAGAATCTATGAAGGAAGTGCACTGACACACAATGTAGCTTTACCTACACCATAGCAAAAATGACTTTGTATATTTGTTTAAAATTGATCCGAGTTCGAAATCAACAATTTCGCAAAAGTAAAGTTTCGCAGTGCATATATAATCTTTTACACTGAGAAAAAAAGACAAAATTATGCAGTTTGCAATATTTTTTCAAAAACTTGTTTAATCCGGAGAAGGCTTTCAATCATTTGTGTAGAATTGTTTTTTTTTTTTTTTTTCGATGGTTAACTTTTATTCAGACTAGAAAAATCTTACATTATTATTACAATGTACATATCACAAGCATTATTATCATTAGAACAGGTGTTTTTTTATTTCAATGAACATATTACATTGATCTGATGCAGTTTGTGCATTGAAAGAATTTAGTATAGGTGCGCATACCATATTAATTTCAATGTATGATATGTACCAGTTGAACTTTGAATGAGATAATGAGAAGAGAACCATTTTCTGGAGATGACATTTATAATTTTGATGCGGCTTTTATACATTTTGAGATATAATAAAATAATTAATCTTTGGAAAAACAAGCTTTTGTAGCAAAATTTTTAATTCAATCATTTTATGTATTGTTTTATTTTCTACCAAAGTACAATGTACTGATTCATGAGTCTACTCTTTTATTTGAACCCGTAAAAAACCTGACTGAAATAAAACAAAATATTGATAGATCTGTACATAATTACATAAAATACATAAACTTTATATATTTTTTTTAGATGACTAGCGATAATGAAATTCTGAATCTCATTTAGAATGAGGAAGGATATTAAACAAATTGGTTAGGAAATTCAAGTATCAAAGTTGCTAATCAAAATGTATCTTTTATGCGTTAATGAATATGCATCCTGTAGTTGAATACATACAAGACAAGTGAGCATTTGAAACATAAGACTCCTTTGGTGCTTTATTTGTACCTTTTACTCCAGTATCGCAGTAATACGTCTAATTAATATGTTATGCACCTTTTTAATTGATTTACTATTTACTTTTCAGTTCTCTACACCAAAAGAGGAAAGACGAGACATTGACAGTATGTACAACAAATACACAGTTAAGAAGCTTATGGAACAAGTACCACAGGTAAACTAGTTTTAAAATTCTTTGTTACTGTAAATGAAAACTGAGATTATTTATTTAGGTTTACTGGCATCAAACTAAATAAATAATCTCAGTTTTCATAACTCAAAATACATACGTATCTCGCAAACTCATTTAAAATTATTTTTCCTCGCAATTACAAATTTTACACTCACGTTTGTGAAAATTGCAACACCAAGAAGGAATCGTCATAATTGAATGCAATTTAATACACAGTTGAGTGGTAGTGGTACAAATAAATGATTAAATGTTCAAAGCAAACAAACAATAACAAGAGATCAGAATCAGTATTTTGTGTGGCCACCACGCGCCGCAATAAGTGCTGCTACACGACGTGGCATGGAGTCAAACAAAGTTTGAATGTCTGACTGAGGAAGAGCATTCCATATCGTTTGTACGCGTACCCAAAGTTCGTCTGCAGACGCAACAGGACGAGGATCACGAGCAAGACGCCGACCAATGACATCCCACACATGTTCAATTGGCGACATATCCGGGGAACACGCAGGCCAAGGAAGAAGCTGTACCTGCTGCGCTGCAAGAAGGATTTAACAATCCGATCAGTATGAGGGAGGGCGGACATTGTCCTGTTGAAATACAGCGCCTGCAAGCTTTGAAGGAAGGGAACAGCTTCGGGCTGTAGAACTTCACGGATATACCGGTTGCTGTTCAGATTGCCCACAATTCGTAGCAATTGAGATCGTCTATGATATGCTATGGCGCCCCAGACCATAACTCCGGGTGTTTCGTCCACTGTGGCGTTCGATAATGCACTCCGGAAGGTGGCGTTTCACCGGCATAGCGTCTGACACGAATGCGGCCATCATGGTACCACAAATTAAAGCGGGATTCGTCAGAAAACACGACATGCTGCCAATCAGCACGCCAGTCTCTATGCTGATTGGCCCATTGTAGCCGCAGGCGGCGATGGTCGTGCGTTAGGGGGATCCTGTATAAAGGAGTCCGTGCGCGCAGTCCACACTGCAGCCAAAGAATAGATTCTTTGACTGCAGCAGACGTCTACGAATTGATGAAGCACACAATGAAACACCTGTAGCTATTGACCACAGTGCTGCCAATTGTCTAGAGGAAGCTGTACGGTCCGTCCGCGCCATGCGGACCAGGTGTCTATCATCGCGAGCTGACGTCACATTTCGGGGTCCACTCCCGGATTTCCGAGTTGTCCGACACTCGTCCGTCCACTGCTTCCAAACGCGCATCACTGTGCTGCTGTTACGCTGCACACGAGAGGCTACTGCACGATACGACAATCCAGCTTCACGAAGGCCGATGATTCTCCCTCGTTCAAACTCTGTAAGTTGTTCAAATCTCGCTCTCTTTCGTCGACGAGGCATAAGTACAGATTGAGTTAAACGTTTACCACTAGCAGATAACCACCGATAACCATACACGCCCTCGCTACAGCCGTCTATTTATTCGGATCCATCAGCCGTTCAGAGGGCGCTGCTCAGCATACGCATGCGCTACGGATTTGCAATTCTAATCATTTGCATATCATGCGCTACTTTGCATTTCCTGAAAATTTCAGCTCACTCGCGTAAGTCCTTCATGGTGTTGCAATTTTCACAAACGTGAGTGTATTTCAAATCTGAATTAACATTTGGTCAAATTTTGATGAAATTTAACCGAAATTTTGCTGAAATTTTAAATGTTATTTCTTCTGGGATAGAAGCAGTGTCAGTTGTTATAATAAAAGTGGGATAGCCGAATTTCTAGGATATGTATGCATAAAGGTACAAAGCTTTCCCCTTTCTTAAAACCTTCGTATAGTTTTAACATACTGATATCAGTTCATTGCAAAGTATTTAAAGAGAAGGGAGCATCGAGTGGCTTCGGAGATGTTCGTAAATGAAGTTTAAATTCATGTGAATAAATTGTCACATGCAAGCGTGTGAATTCCCAGGCAATGACATCTATGAATAACAGCACATATATTGAAGACGCATTTTATTGAACATGAAATATATGTCCTAGATAATGACATAGGAATTGAAACTCATTTCTAGAATCCGAAGTATATACTCAATAATGCTGTGTCCCAGCTCCTCGTTGGAGAGTTTAATTTCACACATTTTTATCCTGATTTGTTTTGGAAAAAAAGCGAGGAATTTTTTGGTATTTCCTTTTTTTCCCTGAATTTATTGACATTCTTTTTGAACTTATATCTATTAGTAGTTTGATTGGTAATGGAGCCTCAAAATTTCTTTAAATATTGTTCAAAGTATTTAGAATGAGGAAGGATATTAAACAAATTGGTTAGGCAATTCAAGTATCAAAGTTGCTAATCAAAATGTATCTTTTATGCGTTAATGAATATGCATCCTGTAGTTGAATACATACAAGACAAGTGAGCATTTCAAACTACTTAGTTTCTTTTGCATCATCTACCTTGCACTCAGTCTCTCACCCTTAACTCTCAGAACTTTACTGCTAGATTCCTCGTCCGATTTGTTTTATAGGGCGAAGTTATTCAATTTGAGGCGAATATTTAAGTTTCAGAAACATTTCAACCGAATTTTGTTGCTGGATAATAGAATGCAAATGATTAGAATTACAAAGCGATTGCGCTTGCGTGGGATAAGAACCGGCCGCTTTTTCCATGTATATAAAACGCTGTAAAGTTGCGTTGAAATCTATTTAACTATTTATCGTCCTCTGTCTGCGGTCAACATTTAATTAGCAGTCAGTATGCCTCGTCAACAGCGGAGGGAGCCTACCAACAACTACCGGAGATCGAACGAGTCCTCAACGTCGGTATACGAGAGAGTGGACTTTCGTATCCAGCAATCGCAGCCTGCACGCAGCGTAATGCTGCAACAGTGATGCGTGTTTGGAAGAAAGGGACAAGGCGAAATCCTGGCAGTGAGATACGCAATAGCACAGTGACACGGGAAGACAGACATCTAAACCGCATGCTGTGACGGATCGTACGGCATCCTCTCGTGTGTTAGTATAACGTTTGGAGCATGGCTAGTGTTGTGTTGTCTAGCTCCACTGTCCTTTGCGTCTGCTATAGCATAAACTGCATGCAAGGGTTACTTTACGCAGGATTCCCCTGTCGCTGAATGACAGATGTCTCCGACTTCAATACGCACTTCAACACAGAGCGTGGCGTGCTCTGTGGCAACAAGCTATTTTCTTCGATGAATCTCGCTACAATCTCGAGTACAATGACGGAAGAGTACGCGTCAGACGGAGGGGACATCTTCTCCCACAGAATGTTATCCAGAGTTATCGCAAAAACACCTGGAATCACGGGGAGCTATTGGCTATAATTGTTGATCCCACCTGAAATTGCGGGCAACCTCAACAGTGATCGCTACAAGTTATGGAGCCAGAGGGTCCTTTACATTCTTCGGCGCATTTCGTACGCTGTATTTCAACAGGATAATGCCCGTGCATATGTATCTCTGACTGCACAAGCCTTCTTTAGAGCACAGCAAGTTTAGCTTCTTCAACGGCCTGCTTATTCCTCGGATATGTCACCACTCGGCATTCCTGAGATTTCATCGGTCGGCGACTCGCTCGTACAGCTGGTGAGGCACATACTAAGACAACTTAGTATCATGTCGAAACTATATGGAATGCCATTTCTCAATATTACATTCAAAAACTGTATGATTCAGTCCCAGGACGTGTACAGGCTCTCATCGCTCAACGTGGTAGACATACAAAGTAATGATTTCCGACGTTTGTTTTGTTTTTATGTCTTGTAAATCTGATCGTTTATTCGTACCATTTTCAGTAATATGTAAAATAAATTTCATTCCTTTCCAGCAATTCCTTCATGGGTTTTCATTTTCATGGGTTTGCATTTTTTACAAACATTAGTGCATCATAATGGATTTGCAATGATATTTTTTAAATAATAAACATAATCTGTGTTGTGTTTATCTTTATTGAGATACATAATCTTACATGTTACATGCTTTTAATTAAAAAGCGATTAAAATTATATATATATATATATGTATATATATATATATATATATATATAAACTCCCACTCTGAATTTTTCTGTTATTTAACATTTCCTATATTCATTGCCTATATGATTTTCTTTAATGCGTCCATTATCAAGCTTTATTTGAAAAGGAAAGATAACTCAACACGTATCATGACATTATACCTAACATCTTACGTTCAGTCGCTTTTCTTCATGCAGAACTGATTTAATATTCCACATGTTAAATAGCTTTTCTTTCCAATAACCCTTAAAACTGTTTCCACATTTGTGTTTGATCTGTTATTATTATTGAATTTATATACATTTATGTACATATATATATATAATATACATGTATTTTCCCCCTTATATTTTATTCTATCACTAACGTTTAATGATATTTTTTGGAAAATGACTTGTGTGCAAATAAATATGTGAAATACATCTCTTTTAATCTGCGATAGATTGACTGGCTGAAATATATCAATGGACTGTTGAATGATGAAATATTTGAAAATGAAACTTTGATTGTTTTTGATCCACATTTCATCACTAAATTTGCTGATCTGATCACAAAAGCAGATAAGAGGTAAGATAGAATTCAGAAGGGCTTTAAAGTACGTACACAGTTATTTCAAAACTTATTTCTATAACTAGTGTACCTACGACCATCCATATAACAAGTGCACTCTATGTTTGCTTGTATAAAATTAGTTATTTGATTTTGTTAACTTAAGCTCTCGTGAGCTATCTGCTGCGGAAAGACTTTCTAAGCAAAAGGTGCATGCATTTACGTTACACATGTGGAAAACCATGAAAACGCCTTCTTACAGCTGCACTTTTGCAGGGATCCAACCTCAAGTTGAAATCTTTAATATTCAGCAATTGTGTCTATAACGGTCACAATTCAGTTTCTCATACAAAACATATCTCTGGATATTCAGTCACTCTAAGCATCACAGATATGTAAAACCACTATTCACTTTTGCGCGTGGAGCGAATAATCAGAATTGCGTTATCGCCTTTCAAGTCTTACGGTCACATATAAGATGCAATATTATCAGTTTAAAATCACAAATAGGATGCTGTTTCTGCTTTTAATGATGAAACTTGAAGTTTCTACAATAGAAGAGGCACATTACAATATTTGTAAATTATATGACAAAATCTCTAATGATTTTACAGTCAAAGTAGTACAGACAGGTCCTAAGTTGACTAATTAATTAGGACCCAATTATCGCTCGTAAATTGAGAAGTTATTTTCCCGTAGGAATGATATAATAATAACAGAAATAATACTTTTAATTTCATTCAAAAAGACAAACAAGACCTTCGATAACAAAAACTTATAGAAAACCAAATAATTCAGTTTGATGTAAATCAAGAATATTTTGACAAAAAAAAATATATTAAAGGACAATAAAAGTTTTGCTTTTTTTTTTTTTTTTTTTTCATTTTGATTTTCAACAGACGGCATTTTTTTTCTTTAAAGAGATTGAGTGTCTTTTGCTTGCGAGATTGCTTTTTATTTTCTTTGTGAATTTGACATCAAGTATATGAATTTCTCAAATCTGCAGTAACCGTTCTGTTTAGTTTACAATTTGAACCTAGAGAGGGAAAAACATTATGGCCACTCTGTTCAAAAGCTATTTCAAGTCCTTTAACTGTAAACCTGGCAAGAGAGATTTCTGTTTCTTCCTCCTCCTCTTACTTCTTATTTTCACAAAAAAATAGTTACAAGCAACTCTTTATTCGTTCACTATCATGTGAGTTCACTATCATGTGCGTTAAGAATATCAGTCATGAGGCCAGTAGAAGTTTCAAAGTTTAACTTTTTAGCAATTTTCACAATCTTAACAGTTTCGTACTGGACTGCTTCTTGCCGTTCCTCAAATCCTGCAGAATTAGCACTTAAATTAGGACAAATGACGCTCACAGTTTTCCTGAAATTCTTATCCAAACATTCTTTGCTACTTTTATTGACCCAAAACATTTTAAACTTTTCCCAAACTGTTTTATGTTTAGTTAGGATATTTTTCAGTATCCGTGAATTTGATAAGGGATTCAAATGCTTCACTTAAATAATAGGCTTTGAATATTGCAATAACTCCTTGGTTCACAGACTAAAGATGTGAATTGTATTAGAGGTTAAAAAAATATTAACATTTGGATGACGATTTTGTAGAAAAGGAGAATGGCAGAAACGTTATCCAGAATTAAAAGGACATAGAAAGGAATTGCTTGGTTCTCGGAATATTGTCTTACTTCTATAATCAAATGATGTACAGACCTGTCTTCAAAACGTATGGCAGCCGTTTTATTGGATTTCCGAATGAGCAGAAGATTACATTTTTGAGAACTTTTAACGCCGCTTTTGGATTTCCTGACCTATAAAAAAGCAATGACTTCAGCTAGGAAATACCACTTGCTTTGCCACCAAGCACTAAATTTAGTTGATCAATAGGAGCTTTAAGGCCTAACACTGATGATTCCTTTTTGATAATGTAGCTCCTAGATGGCTTTTCCCCACTCAGAATAATCCGTTCTCGTCTAACTTGGAGATCTATGCAGGCATTTAATTTTCTTCTTCATTTGATACCTCGAAATGTTTTGCTGTTTTGCTACCAGCATTGGCTGCTTCACTTTGCCAATGTAACATTATGTTATCCTGGTCTCTGTTTGTAGTACCCGAACCAGCCACTATTAGTAGCAAAAGTTCTTTGCCGTCTTGTTTCTGCAGTTGAGCCTTTCTGAAATGGGCAATACTTTCGCACAGATTGCGGCATATATGGCCGCCATGTTTAATCTTTGTGTCTGATCGCTAACCCATGCTGTTAAAATCTCTGTTTGTGAATTGTGCTATCGTCCTCCGTTCGTAACCAAGTAGAGTGTACAGACTGCGCATTCTGAATTTCAAATATTTCTCTTTATTCTTTAAAGCTTATCGATTGATGAGCTTAATGAATATCAGCCTCAAATGCTTTTGACGGTGTTTCCGGCATTGTGTTGTTATGTAATTTCATACTTTTGCTAAAATAATATTGCTTTCTTAAGTTTTAATGTTTTTTTTTTCTAATTAGTCTAATAATTAGACATATTATATTTACTTCAAATAATGACAGTTGTTAAATCGCGCTCCTAAACAGCAATTAAGATAATTCAGTCAAAATATCAATTCCTTTTACAGTTATGCAGATTAATGAAAAATAAAGAATAAATTCAATAACAATTAAGAAGATTGGAAGACGTCATTTAATTTTAAAAAAATTCGTCGCCTTTAAACAAATTTTCTCCGTTGAAGTTGTTCAAAGAATTTTCCGTGCTTTTTTTATTGTTGTAAAATATGGATTTTAATTTGCAATGCTATCTTTGAAATTGCTATTTAAGTCTCAGTGGACCGTGGGAAACATTTATGCGTGTGTAAACCTTCATATTAAATATTCGACAGCTTTTGGAAAATCGTTTAATCTAGTAATTTTTAACAATAATAAAGTAAAATAGAACCGAATTCAAAGAAATTTTTGCCTCTTTGTACAGTCGTATATTGCAAAGAATTTTTCCCAAAATCATGCTAGCATATGAAATATGATTTGAATTTTCCCTCTTCAAAAATCTCTGTCTTGTGATTTCTTTCTAACAATAAATGCTTTAAATATTCTAAACAAGATTCGAAATCAGCTGTTTACTAAAATAAGTAGATGTAGCCTCCTTAATGATTTGTACCACAAATAAATTTTGCTCAGTTTTCGCGCTCCCAAATCATTATGGAAAAATGCATTTACTTTTAAAACCTGAAAAACGCACGTGTGCAATGTTATCGTCATACGATGATTTGCAGGTACTTTTTTTTACCACGATATTTTCGACGACGATGCTTTTAAACTGCTTTATTTTCGACCACACGATATTTTGTACCACGATGTTTTTGAACTGCGATGTTTTCTGTTTGCTTTCTTTTCTCCAACGTTTATTTGTACCATGATGTTTTTGCCTTGCGTTGTTTACTCCGCGACATTTTCGTCTGCGATGTTTTTTCTCGATGTTTTCAGCGGACACCACCGGGATAGTGGTTAGCTATGCCGTGCCGAAGGTCCCAGGTCCGAATCCAGAAGAAGGAATGGCTGTTTTAAATGTATAGTGTTTGTGCGGCATGGAGGCACGCTAAATATGCAGCGAGTCTTAAGTTCCTCGAGAGGTTGATGGTAGAGAAAGGAGATTGGGAGGCCCCCGGACTCGTTCCCGCGGGGTACTCTCCATCAAAATTGGGGGTGGAACTGGGCAAAGTCGTACTGCCACCTGTATGGTGCTCAAGGCGCTTGCCAATCACAGACGCAGTTTTGCACTCCTTGTCACGAAGAATTCCATGGGCTTATTCTGATGTTACTGTCAGATACAAGAGATAAGTCACAACAACAACGCATCACTCACAAACTCTAAGTGGCATCGCTGCTGTGAATCCACGATTTTAAGGATTCGCTGAACTTTTCCAAGTATTTCTTTAGAACACATTCTAAGTACTACTTTGATTTACTATTTAAACTTAATGTTAATTGTATTTTGGTGAAGGCCAAATGAAATGTAGAAAGAATAGAAAATAATTAGTTAATTAAACAATCTTTTCAAACATATAAACCAAATACTTATGAAATAAAAATTTATAAACTAAAATGAAAGAAAATAAATCAGTATAATCTATAAAAACACATAAAAGTCTAAAAATGAACTTATAAACTCGAAGAATAATATGTAAAATAGGAGGGCAAAGAACAACTAGCAATATAAGATATATGTAATACGTAAGAACTGTTGTCAATGAAAGAACAGAAACATCCTAAAGTAAAAAGTAAAGAACTATAAATTGCGACGCAAAATTTTAACTAATCCTCTCTCTCTTTCATATCTTTTTACTTTTCTGACTTTATTAATTCGAAAGTAATCTGCTGGTTCATTACCAATGCATTTATTACAATACATGATCATTGGGCTCCATCTGTCTGAAACATAATTTACTATTAGGCCTCCGTCTGTTTATAATTTTAAATCTCTGCTTAAAAACTGCTTATTTTCCGTGATTTACTATATGATCGTTATGACATAACTGAACAATACTTATTTATCATGACATGAGCTTACAAGTAAGTGATAGAGTACAGGTTAGTCTTCCATTGTCTTTTTTAATCTCTGAGAGTGAAAATACTTTCCTTTACTTGCAAGCTTATATTCTTCTTTCTTATAAAATATAAACTTCTCGAACATCTGCGCTTTGTTTTTTTATGAGATTCAAAAAATGAATTAAAATTTCTATACGTCTATGCAAGAAATTAGTGAGTAATTAAAATTTCTTTTAGTCGAAAAGTGAAATTAAAGCAAGGCAGTAAGTATTGACAGTGTTATTAGCATTATCAAGCTAATAATGCTATTTTGCTTTCAGGGTGGTGGCCAATTACATGATGTGGAGAGTTGTTAAAGAATCTGCTTCCGAATTATCTTCAGACTGGAGGAAACTAAGTCAGGAATATTCCTTTGTGTTGTCTGGAACAGAGCAAGAAAAGCCAAGATGGAAAACATGCCTTCAATCTTTTAGTGATAGCCTACTTATTGCTCTCAGTTCCTACTACGTGCGTGAGTATTTCAAAGAGGAAAGTAAGGATGTGGTAAGTAAAAAGGGCCCGGATGTATACTAGGCCAATAAGGCATCATAAATGATTTTACTTATCATACCTGTACATTTCTGTGACTCGGTTTTTCAAAAACTGGAATTTCACATAAAATAATTTCTCATTAGTTGTTAAAATCCTGACTCGCTCAATTTTTTATTTTTTTGAAATGTTATCACCATGAAATAAAACGATTGTTTTACAGATAAAGAGCACATAGCGATAATGACGACTAAAACATAAAGTCGGCATTATACGAAATGTTTTAATCGTCTTATACGACTAAAACTTTTCGTATAATTTCCTCAAGTCCTTTTTAAGTAAAATTTACATTACTGTCTTCATGTAAATTGTTAAATTAAGTCGATCTTCTCGTATATATTAAACTTTTGGCACCTTAAGAATAGAAGAGGGAAACTCTGAAACATCATGTCACATAAAACAACAACTGAAATATCAAAACAAAATTTTAAGGTAATTTCGCCATACACTGAAAGAGATATTATGGTGATAAATTAGCACCCTTACGTTAAGAGTTTTACATACTTTTTTTTTTTTTTTTTCAGAAGAATGCTTTTTGATAGTTTTTCATGAGTCCACTTACATGGGATTTTGGAGAAAAATAATGAGCTCATCCTTGACGGTGTTCCCATTCTATACTTTGTAAATTTTGAAATATACCTGAATGCATATGGTGAAATATTACTGAATGTAAGATGCTCTGTCCAATGAAATGTAATCATATACTTTCAGGTTTGGAAAATTGCAATAACATGAAATATTCATTAAAAAAGAGTGACAGTTACGTGAAATGCAAAGCAGGATTTGGCATACGTATGAATAAGTGCAATATGAATGCGCATGTCTTGATTCAGTAAAGTCTGCTGAACGCTCATATCAGCTATATAAAAAGATTTTTATTGAACAGTCGTACAAGTAATATATCCTTGTCAGCAGCTTGGAAACTGCCGTGTGAGAATCATCGTGCTTTGATTATATCAAAGAGTGATATATACGCAAACTAAAGAGTAACTGAAGCAGAAGGAATTCTTAACCACGACATTGCTTGTCCTACGGGTCACAATGCAGTGATTGTGATACAAGGAAACGGAGGACAGAAGAGAATGGAGTAAGTCGAGATTCTAACTCTTGACTGTGAAATATGACGATGCTACAGAAAGATATCTTATCTGTCCGACGGTGATGAATTATGTACGTTCTTCTCGAGCATTAGCGGAGAATTGAAGCTTTTACGCTTATGACATTATTTGCTTCTATGAGTCAATGGCAATCTATTGAGCAAAAGACCGCGTCAAGCAGTCATCTGTACAAGATACCATTGATCGTGAACCGTCAGTGTCTCAGGCTACATTAAGGCACAGACACATATAAGACACATGTATGCGGATAGTAACATGTTTTGGACACGTTTCGTGTTTTTAAACAAGTTCTTCTTTAACCCGAATAATGTTGGGTGAACACACATTAAAACCTTTGTGGTGAGCGTTATTTTCCAGCACCCGATTTAGATCTTCCTACTAGGCTGGGTGTGATGGCGTTGGGCATGGCGCTGAGCATGTTATAAGAAATTCTAGGGGCTATGAATTATTTCCGGAAATAGGTTGCCTGAATGTCCAAACTTTCTTTGCAGCGCTGAATATATTCTCATTCCAGGGCTTGCTGGTTTTTCAAGGCTTGTAGCCCGTTGAACGTGAGTTATATATGGTCACTCTGTGTGGCCTAACACTTGCCATCAGCAACCAGTGCAAATGAACTATCGACTCAGTTCCAAGTAGCCTGGCAGGAAATAATCCTGAAAAACACCAAACGTCTTTGATTCTGTGATGAGATCTATAATAACTCATCCCCCCCCTCCACAAAAAATATTTTTTCACCGGTATTATTGCCGTCATCTGCCTGAATCTGTAATCGTTTATTTGTATTATGTACTATTAGTAATATGTGATATAAATGTGTTCTGATATATGGCTTTTGAATAATATTACTACTGAATATATAGTTTCAGAATAATCTTTTAATGGATTAATCTTCAAAACATTTTGAAGATTGCATCTGTAAAGCAACTCTCTTTAACGCATATCTTTACGTGCATCATATCTTAGTCAAACCAAAGAAAAGTCTCGGCACTAATGTCAGTAAAGTCAAACACCAAGAAAGATAAGTTAGTAATGTCAAAGGACTTGAATTTTCATATTCTGCACTAAAGCTTGTAAAATTAACTCCCGTAAACTTCATAATGAATTAATGTTTCATTCATCAGCAGAGAATTTTTTAGTTTCAATTTATAAGTTGTTCTTAAAACTTTTTCCCTTATTTTACTTCTAAGCCTTTAAACACTGAATTTCATATCTGCTTTTATCATTGCATTTCTAATTTTGAAACATCTAACAATACATTTGTATTAAATATTTTTTTCCGTTTCTTTTAGGCGCTAGAGATGGTTAAATACATCCAGCAAGAATTCTTAAATATTCTAAAAAATATAGATTGGATGGAGAAAGAAACAAAAAAACAAGCCATAGAAAAGGTTTTGTTACATTTCCTTTTACCTTTGTACTTTGTACTTTTACCTTTGCCTAAGATAAAACAAACCGCTAATAATGAGCAACTTATAACTGTAAAGTGAATTTTGCCTCTTCCTCAAAAGTTTAGAAAGCTGATTGAAAGCATAAGTTATGAGGTATTTCTCGCGCATTCTTAGCATGCCTTCGTGGTGTAGTGGTCAGCACACTCGGCCCGTATTCGAGAGGTCCGTAGTTCGAATCCATTGCTCATTTTTCATCTCTCTTGCTTTAAAAAATACCTAATGTTTCTACAGCGGTGGCCAAATTAAAAAAGGTGGTGGATGATGATTCTCCAACACCAGAATTTGGCGACTAGGTCCCCTAAGCCTCAGTCGCCCTTTAAAAGGGGTAATATATAAGGTATTTCTCCAGCCTTGTTAGCATGCCTTCTTGGTGTAGTCGTCAGCACACTTGGAGCGTATTCGAGAGATCCGTGGTTCGAGTCCCGGCGAGGGCATTGCAGGTTTCCAACTTCGAAGTAACCTAATGACTCTATAATGTTTTTCTGCACTTTTTAGAGAACAATATCACTTTTTGAAGCGATCACTGAGTTGTTGGTATTATATCTAAAACAATTAAAAGTTATTTTTGGAGAGATGATTAAACATGTGTTCAGAGCTCTTGAGTATTCTATGCCTATCATTTGTTCAAAACTAAAATAATTCCATTTCTCTGTTTTAGGCTATTAGAATAACAAATCTTATTATTTCTCTGCCAATTAATTGTTCAAATAACTACACGTTTAAGCAGAAAATTAATGCATTAAAAGATCATAACCCGTAAAGCTGTTAAAAAATATTCAAATATTTCCTTTACTATCTTGCGTGTAAATAAGTGTCAAGCACAACGCACTCTAAATGGGGTCAATTTTAACAAGATACGTCACTATTAAATTATTCCTTTGACATTTAAAATAGTGCAAATTTCTATGATGCTAATGAATCGTTAATTAACAAAGTGTATGAACTGCAAGAACATAAATTTCATAAGTAATATTATAAACGGTTAAATAAAAACGGTGTTTATCGTGCTACGAAAATGTCTTATATGACTTTGCTCTTGGATGCATGTCTAATAGTTGCTCAGTTTTAGTCAAGATATGATGCAATATTTTATACGAAATAGTCTCATTTGTTGAATTACTCGTTTTAACATTTGCAATGTTCGTAATCTATGTTATGTTAGTTTTTGGCCTTAATTTATTATCATTGTCCTTGATAGATTTTGCCCTTGATAAGAAGGCATTATGTAGCATAATCTCTGAAGAAAAGTGATTTTTCGAGTGGTCATGTTATTGAAATAGATCATTAAGCGGCAAATTTCACCTTACTGTATTCTAATGCAACGTCATCCTTTCTACCTCATGGACCTTATAAGAAATAGACCAACCCAATTTTCTCATTTCTTCTAACGCATTCCCGGCTGTCACCTTGACCACATCCGGAGGAGTAGGAACGACTTGCAGAAACTTATAATGGTCGGCTATTTCAGTGTGTATAATTGTCGAGAAAAAGTTGTTTGTAGCGCCCCATTTCACAACTTAGAATTTTTAGATATTTTTATTTTTGAAACTGAGATTGATTTTTAAAAATTTAGCATATTTATCAAGCATAATTAACGTTCCAAATAATTATAAAGCTGTTGCATGCTTTCAGACCTGGCTATTTTTTTAGCTTTTCCAATGCTGTAAGGAAATTTGTAACTACTTCTTTTAGAAAAAAATATTTTAAATCTGAACTAATAGAAAATTTCAAACAAAGAATTTTCTCTTATAACATTTACGCTTTTTATTGATGTAAATAAATAAAAATACTAAAATACCTAAAAATGAATTTTCGAAAGTTTTTTCTGAAACTTGTAAGTTGTGCTGCTTTTTTAAGATTATAGGTGAATATTCTAGCATATTTTTTATAAACGAGTTTTATTTCAATTATATTTCACAATACAGCAGAGTGATAAAGATTTTTAACACCTTAGTAATTTTTATACATTTATTCTAATGTCAAAATCGTCAACTGAAATAATTGATTGTACTAACATTTTATAGTGATTATTTTTTTTTTGGATTTAATTCTAGTTCTGCAAAAGATTATTTTTATTTACTGTGAATTTAGTTTATTAGACCAAAGAGGCGGTAGCCCAGAAAGGCCATTAGTTTCGAAACGGCATTTTGCGCTGTTTCATTATAAATATCCATTTCACTTTCAAATTGTTGCCACCAAATATTAACGCCTTGTATTATATTTAAAGAAATTTAATAATTAATAATCTGCATGAATACATGTATGTTTCTCGCACTGTGAAAAAACGACGGTATCTAGAGCCATCAAATTTTGAATAACGTAATCCTCCACTCGAACAGCCAAATTTGTTTTAATCCAGTTCATATTTTGTAAAACTTTTGAATAAATTTTTGTAAATTTTTGATTTATAAATTTGAGTAAATTTTTGATTGAGAAACTCGACGATTTCAAAGCGAGCAATGGCAAGACTGTACGGAAAATAACATTTTTATCTCCAGCGCGGAAGTTCTAAAGATATGCTGTTTTCAAATATTTTGTGATACTGCTGTTGAATTGAATTTTGTGTGGTTTAAATGCGAAGAACATGATATTCAATAAATAGAAGTAACACACAAAACGTTAAAAAACGTCCCTTTGAGCGTAACATAAAATCTGAGTGCTTCCAGATTTTATTTATTCATTTATTTATTTATTTTCTTTACACTGAGAAAAATTTATGCTCCAAATTTTATGAATTATTAAAGTAAATAATCATCTTATGATGTTAATAAATAATGATCATATGATCAAATAAATGGTCGTCTTGTAATGATATAATAATTTTAAAAACCACTGCCTGAAAATGCTCATACTTTTTTTAATATCAGATCTGGTATAATTTTGCTTTTTTTGTTTCAAAGCTTCATGTGCTATCATTCTTATTTAATTTTACTTTATTTGTAATCAAAAGTAATTCCTAAATTTTGCGTTTAGAGTTTTTACTCTTTTACCAAAGTAAAGATGTTTATACCAGAATTACGCGTGAAAAGAATGCTCAAAATGCAGTAAAAAGCACTTTAAAGAGATATATAAAATCTTATTTGAAAAAACTGTGACTTTTCATAATCTCATCACTTATACAACGTATCACATTTAATAATTAAAAACAATTATGTGATACAGACGCCATAGGTTTCAATGTTAAAGTAACCTAGAGCTTCCCTACTCCTTCTTGCGGACATGTGGATGACGCGCGCCCCGCCCACTGCGTTAGTCTATCTCCTATCTCTTATAAAGTCCTACTACTTCCAATGACAACAGATATTTCTGGTTGTCAAATGAGATTTAGGAAAAATTTTCATCACGACGTCGTATTGACGTAAACATCCTTAATTACATTAATTTCGGTAGATACTGTGACCACAAATAACAGGATCACCAGTTAAACCCCTCATGAGCAACTAATCATAAAACAGAAACCCGCACATATATACATATAAATAAAATATATAAAAAAATCTGAAAATTGCATCCAAAGGGTCTTTTTTTAACATTTTGTCTGTTACCTTTATTTATTAAATATCACGTTCTTCGCACTTAAACCATAAAATTCAGTTCAAGAGCAATATCGCAAAATAATTTTAACTGAGCATATCTTTAGAATTTCCGATACGCAGTCTCACGCGCTGGAGATAAAAATATTTTTTTTCTGTACAGCGTTGCTATTACTCGCTTTGAAATCCTTGAGTTTGTGAATTAAAAATTAGTTAAAGATTTACAAAATATGAAATAGATAATAAAACAAATTCCAAATTGCAAATTTGAGCTTCCACATGCTCATATCCGCAGAATGATTACGTCATGCAAAATTCGATGGCTGTATCTACCGTTGTTTTAACACAATGCGAGAAATTTACATACATTTATGAAGAATTTTAATTATTTAATTTCTTCAAATAAAATGCAGGACTCTAACATTTAGTGGCAACGATTTGAAAAGTGAAACGGACATTTATAGTGAACCAACGCAAAATCGCAAAACGAAAACGATAGTTCTTCAGGGACAAAGCCCCTTTGGACTAATAAAAAGTAAAAAAACCACTTTTTAATTACTGTAGCTATATTTCATAAATTAGGCATTCCTCTCTATGAACCTTTGCTGAAATTAATTTTTTAATTTTCAATCCCTATGAATTTCTTTTATTGATCATAAATGAGCGGAGACCAATAAAAAAATAATGTCCTGTCCCATACGTCCATACGTTTCCCAATTCATTACTTTTAAATCAAACTTAGAAATGTTTCCCAGTTCATTCTTTGAATCAAACTTAGAAATGTTATTTATAAGTTTGGTTTAAAGGGATTTATAGCTTACTTCAGTTTAAAATACAGCTTGTAAAATTCTAGCTAAATCAATTTTGCTTTGTTGGTTAAGATCCCTACCCTATTTGGACTGTGAAGCGACTATTCACTAAGTTCAGTCTGTATCAGTAACAACACGTGGAAAAAGTGAAAAGACTCTTTTATTCAACTAAACAAAATATTTACAGTCGGCAAAGTCTGGTGCTTACAATCTAAGCAAATAAAAAAACAGAAAAAAACTTTTGGCTGTAACTCAAAATAGAAATGCAAAATTAAATCTAAGTCAGACGAAGGTGCTTAAGTAAGCTTTTCAGCTGAAGCTGCTTAAGTAAGCCTAAGCTTTTCAGCCGAAGCTGCACAGAGATATTTAATGTGTAGTTGACTCTTAGCCTTACCGCCGACGTAGACAAACTTTCAATTAATGTCTAGGGCCGTAAAGTAGTAAGCTTAAATATCAGCGAAACAACGTGGCCGAAAGAGCAGAACACGCTGTGTCTGAAGTAATTCAGACGCCAACTTAAATAGTATCTTTCTACCCTGTTTTGCATAACGTATGAAACTGAAATATCATTCTGGCAAGAAAGCTTGAGTTGAAAATAAGAACGTCAGGAAAGGTTGCTTCAAAGTAAAATTAACTGTTAAGTAAATTAAATAAATCCCTACAAACTTTAAAATGCATTTAGAAATTATGTATTAATAGAATATCGATCTATCTTTTTCAGTGGAATATTTTTAATGAAATAGTTTACGAATCATATTGTAAATAATTAATACTTATTATTTTCTGTATGAATACTCTATGAACAGACAAAAACTCCACTTTTTGACAAATAAATATCCTGTTTCGCTTCTTGGTTGAATTTTGTTTAATTTGAAATAAGATCGCAAACTTTCGAAACTTAAAAATCTTTCAGTATCAGGCTTGCTTATATTTTGGGCATAAAAAGACAGTTCAACCTTTTGTAAATACTCGCAAAGTTTCATCAAGCTCGACATTATTGCAATCCTTGCAGGTCCAAATTGGAACTTAACCCTGAAGATTATGATAATTATACTTGTAAGGTTTTACTTTATTCTAACCAGTTATTTTTAGTTTGACTTTCCTGTTTCTCCTGATTTCAGTTTCCTGCTGGAATGTAAATTTTGTACAACTTAAATGTAAATTTTAAACGTCTTTCAGAAGCAGTGTTTAAGCTGCGTTTGAAGAGTTCAAATGAGTAGTAGCTGACTTAGTTCCGATGTTTATGGCTGCGAGTTTAAAATTAGCTCTCTAGTTCGGTAGTTGACACCTTTCAGTTTACACTAATATTTCTCAGCTCGGCTTTGCTGTGTGCATTCGATTTAGCGGTAGTTTAACCCTCTGAGCTAAAGCCCTGCGCCGCTCAGAGGGTTAAGCTAAGGAGCCAGTCATTCAATGATCTTAATTTTACTAGTGAATTGTTACATTCTTATTTTCTGTTACGTAGCAACAAGTGGTGGTGATTTGTGAGCACGAAGTGTTTGCATCTGTTTTAATTTACACTAAATAAAAAGGCTATTTAAACCTTTCCTCTGCTTTATTTATTACTAAAGACCTAGCGATAATTCGCTATTTAGTCTTCGACATAGGTGCATGTTCCCAAAGAATGCATGCAGTCTCCATACACTAATGAAAACTAACAAAAGTAAACGTATTGGAAACGCTTTGGGAAAGAAAACTGAAGTAATGCAATTAAGATAAACTTCAATCTAAAAATTTCGCATTACATTATTCATCATTAAGTTTAAAAGAAATCAGATTGCTGTTTATCTTGATACTCAGGTCTCAGTCTGATATCTGAAATAATTTAAATGTGAAGAATTATGATAGATCTACTAGTTTATGAATTATCCTTCGAAAATTTAAGATAACAGAACAAAAAATGTCGCATATTTAAAATAATTCGAAACAGCAAAGGCAAATGGTACAGAAATTTACTATCACGTCACTTTAACTTAAATTAATCCCCTGTGAGAAAGTGCAGCTACGTGCAGTGGAAACCTATATCATTTCAAAATCAGCTGGGTACTTAACATCGCTGGATAACTTGCGTATGGGGATTGAAACAAATATTTTCCTGAAGCAGAAATATATTTCATTTTTATTTTACCAGAACGCGAATTCTTCAAAGTATAAAAAAAACCTGAAGAATGGTTTCCGAGATATTTTAAAAGAATAAAATTACAGTTATGAATGCCTCTAATAACACGAACACGGAAAGGAAAACTGCATGATAAACTTACATAGGTTACTGTGTTGCCAAATATCTAACAGAAGATATTACAACCAACAAATGCCTACTGTGTTAAATTTGAACGATAACTGCGGTTAAACCGTTGTTCAAAGAAGATCTTTTGAGAAATAAATAATGTCTTTTCTATCGGACATCATTCGGGACCAAACAGGGAAACGACCATTACGGGAATTACGGGACCATTAGGTTCTGGTTTATTTTTAATTTGTACCACATGGAATAAATTTAAATATTTTAGGCTAAAAATATGTATTTATTTCTTAGGCTCTTGCTATGAAGTCGTGTATTGGATATCCTAATGAGCTTCTAAAGAATTCATACATATCTATTTTTTACGAAAATGTGAGTATCTTACTATTTAGTAATAAGTTTTCCAGAAATATAACTTACAAAACTGAAGGACTTGATAAAAGTTTTTAAAGCATAAGTTACTTATTTTACAGCTGACGCTCAATGATAAAAGTTACTATGAAAACACTAGGAAAGTAAACAAGTGGGAAACTGATTACGATTTCTCTGAGCTTCGGAAACCTAGGATAAAAGGAGAGTATGTAGCATTCGAATTCCAATAAGCTCATATTTTTATTTCTCTTCTTACCATTTAATTAGAGTGTCATACAAAGGAATTTTGTAATAGTTAAGAATTTTACAAAATTTAAAGGGACTTATCAAAAATTAGAAAGATAATGTCTCAGAAACTAATTCTTTATTTACAGCAAAATGAGTTTATGATACAAAAACACAATGTAATTTATTCCGCAGGAATGTAAAAGTGAAATTTTATCCTCTTTAATTGTTTTCATGTGTTTTTACTTCCCAACTTACTCCCATAAAATAATGTGCTAGAAAGAATCTAGAGTTCAATTTGCAAGTCTTTAGTCACTGATATTTTAATAAGAGCAAGAACAAAGTAAATCTTACTTTTGTTCTGAGTAAAGGTATATACACTGCGGGAAAACAAATGGGACAGTTTTATATCTCTCGTTCTACTGGGCCGCGTGACGACATTCAAACGGTGTTTTTCATGTATCGAAAACGTGATTAGGATATACATTAGATTTATATATAGCATTTGTTCTAATATAGATATTTTGACACAAAATCGGACTTTTGCTGAAATGAAGTGTCAGTTTTTTTACGTATTAGAATATTTTAAGGATGATAATTCATAGCCATTTTTTCCATCGGAATAGTTTCGTGACCATGATAAAGAAAACTGTGGTAAATGGTCGAGTCCTCTGATTTTTCTTTACCCTCTTTTCATTTCGTTTCCATAAAACGTGTTTCTCTTCGTGGAAAGCAAACGAATGAAGGCAGATTGAACTACATTCCCAAATGAGGTGGAGGAAATAAATGTTGTGTGATGACGACAAGTGTTTGGGTACCAAATATTGGGAGAACCAGGAAGGCTTTGAACTATTTTTTAAAGTATAGTAGTGGTGACGATGTTTCGTTTATTAAGCTTGTAGACTCATTAAGGTTTTGTTTTTTAAAGCAAGATACGAAAAATGTGCAATGCCCTCACCGGGACTCGAACCTGGACCTCTCGAATATGCGCCGAGTGTGCTACAGTTACACTACGAAGGGATGCTGGAAAAGGGAGAAAATAATTTTTTAAGCTTATTCATTGGAATCTGAGTTCCTCAGAAGTACAGGAAATTTGGTGATAAAGATTGGGTCATCTTTTAATACCTCATGAACTTTCAAATTCATCACTCAGGCAGGTTAGTAATATCTGCACTCCACCTCAGCTCTTAAAAACCGTATTTTATGAGTAGCGAGGAAGTCTTGAAAGACGAAAGTATGTTTCTATGCTCTTCACTGTTTCTTAAAGTATTTTGCAAATAATCCACGTATTTTACATACCTGGCATAGTTTTACGGATCTTACCAAAAGTTAACATTGAGCTCTATCTTGGCATTTATCATTTCGTTATTAAAATGATATTTCTCTTTGAGTTCCTTTCCAGCCTGGAGGCCCCAGATGAAATTCTGTTCTTGAGCGCATTTTCTTAATTTACAGACCTTTATTAATTCTTTTATTACTATTTACTTGTGGAAGAAAATTTATTTATTAGCGTTGTTTATTTAAGAAAATAATGTTAAAATGAAAAAATTCGAAAAGGCAGTTTTTTTGTTTTTTATTGTGCTTTTTAACGTAATTTACTTTTCAAAAAAATTACTTTAAACTGATTTGTCACAAAAGTGCTCAAATATACAGTACTGTGAATTGAAAAAATGACGATTTGTCACATTTTTACCTTTTATTCGTGATATATGTTTTATAGGCGTTATTAATTCTTTCATTTTCAGTTTATTTTAAAAGAAAAATCTATTAATAAATATAATTTTAAAGAATTTATAAGGTATTCCTTCCTTCTTTCTGCATGCCTTCGTGGTGTAACGGTAACACACTTGACTTGTAATCGAGAGGTCCGAGTCCCGTTGAGAGGACTGCTCATTTTTCATGTACTCTTGCTTCCTAATATCTCTACAAATTCACATAAAAAGAACATACACTATAAAAATTTCATACCAAGGAGGAAAAAAATATTTTTCATTCATTTTTCATAAGTTCCAATATATTTCATTTTTCCATCCCATTTAATAACACTGGGGATAAAAATGACAATTGAATTTTTGGAGAATGACGATTTATCCGAATTTAATCTTCTTTTGAGAGGAAATTTCAAGTTAAAAACCCATTCACCTCCATCATTTAGCGGAATTGTCTCTTCTATTATATTTGTGTATTTCATAAATACGTATTCATCATACCAATTTAAGTTTGATAAATAAGCATATATTCGATGTAATTAATACTAATAGTACTTTATTTTTAACGTTTCTGTGATTAGTCAGTAGCAGATAAATATTTTTTTTAATGGCCGGGTGCTTTATTTAATAGCCATTAGACTTGCGCCACTACAAGTGCCACTTCCGCAACTACAAGTGCCGGAAGTGGTGGCCATTTCACTATGGAAGCACCTAACAGGTGGCCATCGTCGCCTCTTATGAAGGGACGTACAGTTACAACGGCGCTTTCCCCGGGATTTGAATCCAGGCCCATCGCTTCGGCAGTCAGGATTACTATACCGGCTAGGCAGCTTGCAGATAAATATAATGATAATATTCGTAACTACATTTTATACAAAATTTGTGTAATACTTTCTTTTTTGAATCTTTATTATTAAATTTTCTTACAAAACAATTACCGTTAAAAGTTTTAAACACATCGTTGGGAATTAAAATAAAAGACTTGCGGCAGTGGAATTCGATCTTCCAGGTGTTTGAATCAGTAGTTCTGTTATTTTTGAGTCAGTAGCATATCATAAGAATGCCCTCCATCCTACCTGGTCTGGTTTGTTTTAATTGACTATGGCAAAGCACACTAGGGTTATCTGCCTACGGAGAGAGATGCTTTCGTGGTGGACTTTCTGAGGGAAACTGGTTCGTATACACGTTACACATGGGGTAAGCCACGAAAATGCCCATGCAGTCAGGCCGTTCACGTGGAATCGAACTCAGGACGGAACTACCAGTGTTCAGCGATTTTACTTATTCAGCGATTATTTTGTTCGGACACTGGGGGGGGGCAACCGTCCTATCCAGAGATAGAAATTTAAATAATATGAATGTTGCGAAAAGGCGGATGTTGTTTAAAAATTTATTCCTAAATTTATCACATATTTTTGAGTAGTTCGCGCTCTCTCAATGCATATACAGGGTGTCCTGTAAATGTTGTGGCAAACTTCTGGGGGGGGAGGTAGGGCACATCATAAGGATTAAGAATTGCATAGGAATCCTATCCAGAAACGTCACTGTGCGCAGCCAGGGGGTGTTGTAAAGGAGAGTTCTTGTGGAAAGTAAGGATTGCTTCATTCGAGCGATAGTCACCATTCGAAGAACATAGAACGCTATACAAACGGAGAGCTTATGAACATGTGGTTCCAACATGATGAAGCACCTGCTCATTTTGGACTGGATGTTCGTAGCCATTTGAACAGATCATTCCCGCATGGACGAATTGAGCGTGGTGGACCGGTTCCCTTACGCTCAGTGGATTTATTCAGCCTTGGTTTATTTTGTGAGGCGACATGAAAAATGTCGTGTATCACGATCCTGTTGTTTCTGAAATGGATTTCGTGGCAAAACGCGTCTGCGTAGCTGCTACAATCAAAGAAACTCCCGGCGTGTTTGAACACGTCTGACAATCAATGGTCGTGTCAGGCATGTTTGGCGTCTGATGGTGCAAACTTCGAGCATCTGCTGTATCATTCAAGCTGCCGTACATTTGTATTCAAACGCTTCAAATTAATCACTCTCTTGTTTCCTTTCGCATCTTCTACCTCTGCTACCACTTACCCCTGACTGGGCAGAATATTTCGAAACCCTACTTCACTTTTCGAATTTTTGACGGCAGGGTTAACCATGCCGTCAAATCGACATCGACTAGTTTCGCCTGGATGGTAATTCTTGAGCATGTGCTGAAGGACGAGAAGTAAGATAAACACAACTTTGGTCTGCACCTGTAAACTGTATTAAGTATATAGTCTGAAAATGCATTCGCTTATGTATTTGCATAATTTGACTGTTTCTGTAATAAGAAACTTCATTCAGATAAAATTAATTTTAATATTATTATCTGGATTATACGAAATGCTGAATACTGTAGATGCTATCGTAATCTTCACATAACCTTTCACATTGGATTTTACCTTATCACTGTAAAATATATTGTAATAGCAGCTTCGCTGCCAGCCTTCGTCTGGTTTTTAAATGTACCGGAAAAATGGCTGAAGGAAACACCAAACGTTAAATTTAAAAACTGCGTAGAATTTTACTCTGCAGAACAACTTCATAAAAAAAAGTTATTACGTATAACAAAATTACAATGAAATAAGCAATATCCCTTACTACAAATATTAATTATCCTAATAAATAAATTAACCAACTTCCCTTTGCAAAATCTTAAGAACCCAAATGGTATAAAGGAGGTTAAGAACTTTGTTTCCTAAAAAAAATCACTTAGAACTTTTCAGTATCTTAAAAACAGTGAAATGAGCAATAAATAACATAAAAGAATACAAAAAACAAAAAATTCTGAAAAGCAAAGTATAATAATGATATTTTATGTTATATTTTCAAGAGGAAAAAATTACAATGAAATAAGCTACAACCCTTAATACAAAATATTAATTATCCTAATAAAAAAATTAACCAACTTTCCGTTGAAGAACAAAAATCATGCAAAACTTTTCAATATCTTACAAACAGTGAAGTAAGCAAAAAATAACATGAAAGCAACTAAAAAAACATAAAATTCCGCGCAGAATTTTACTCTGCAGAACAACTTTATCAATAAAAATGTATTATATATATATATATATATAAATGACAATGAAATATGCCAATCTCTTAAAAACAGCGACATAAGAAATACGATGAAAAATTGTTGCCAAACCCATATTTCTAAAAGAATGAAACTACTCAAAATGATGCGATCTCATCAAAAATCTATCAGCAGCAATTAGACAGGAAACTTTTT